TAGAACGGACAACCCCTTAAATTTTAAGTGGAATAATACTGGTTTAAAATTCCTTGGAGTTCACATGGGAAACTCCTTCCATTTTTTTCAACAAAACTGGCAAACCTGTCGAGAAAAATTGCAAAACGTTCTTGCTCGTTGGAAAGGATTGTGTAAACTGCTGTCCTTCAGAGGCAGAGCCCTGGTAGCCAATCAGTTAGCGGCTTCCAAACTTCTTCACGTCCTTGCAGTTTTATCCCCCCCTCCAGAAATTCTCAGTGAACTCCAAAGGAAACTGGTAGATTTTATTTGGTCTGATGGGCGACATTGGATAAAGGAAAATATTTTGTATCGTTCACCTGAAACAGGCGGTCTGGGCCTTACCTGCCTCCAGTCACGAGTTTTTACGTATCGCTTCTCCTTTGTACAAAGATTTCTAAAAAAATCACCTCATCCTGTTTTCGCTTTCATGAGCTACTTTTTGCGTCAATATTGCAAGTTCGATTTTGATGCTCAAATCTTCTTAATAAATCTTGACGCTAAATTTTTTGTTCACCTCCCACATTCTACTGTAGTGTGTTACAAGACTGGAAGTTATCGAGAGCCCAAATTGTCATACCGCCCGATTCTCTTCATTTCATTTCGAATTTACCGTTAATTTCTACTCATATAATTAAGTTTGCCGGTATAGATGACCATCTCCTTTGCCCTCGTCTCCGGGTGCGTGGTGTTCGTACAGTAACTGTTGGAGACATACTGGACGTCTCTTCTGGAAAAATGGAAAACAACAGAGGATACCCAAGCTGCAAACCCAGTGCGAAAGTCCTCAAAACAGGCTTCTTCGCGCTGAACTCTCTGAAATGACATATCTCCTCTTGCGTGTCTTATCCCGCAGTTTTTGGATACCATCTGTCCACACGTAATCTTCGAATTCAGAGCATCCCAGCCCTGAGAGAACTTCCCCTCATTGTTCACTTCCCTCCAGACATCGATGCCAGAGGCGCATCTTCCAAGACTATTTGTAAAACCCTCAACGCAGAACTCAACCAACTGAAGATTCCTCTTCAGATTTACTGGCATGAACAGAATGTAGTCCCAGAGAACAGGAAAATCGAATGGCAAGCAATATATCGTCTACCTTCCTCAAAGAAAGAGGGCGATGTCAAATTTTGCCTATTACATAACTTTCTGCTCAGTCTACCGGTCCTGCAGCACATTAACCCAGACATTTCTCCACTGTGCCCTTGGTGTGGACAAAGAGGAACAATCGTTCACTTGTTCATCATGTGTCGCACCATCCAGTCAGCATTAAATCTTCTGAACTGTCTCTTGAGTCGTCTTTTCCCGAGTGTCGTTCAAGATTTTGACCTGTACTGGAGCCTCCTTCCATACAAGAATGAACGTTGAAAGGAGTTTCCATTTGAACCTTGTTTTATTTTAAGAATCGTTGTTTTGTAGATATTCTCTGTCATGAATCAAAGGTTCATTGGAAAAGTGAAAAAGTGTTTGTTGGGTTTTTGTTTGTTTGCGTAGGCCATTCTGTAAAACGTATAAGCCTGTTATTCTCCCGTGATCAAGAATCAAGAACAACAAAGTAACACACACGGGAAACGTTTATGTGGAGCCATAAACTCGTATTTTCAATGAAACATAAAGCAGTAAGTGCTCTTATATCCTGGGGACACCAATTAATCTACCACACTTGCATAGGTTACTAGTAGGCGACGAAAGCTGCGTTTGACATTAATGTCACAACCCAACACATTATAGAGAAAGCAAAAGTGCTCAGATAAAACGGCGCTTGGCCATTTTAATGATTAGGGTACCGGAGGAAATACCAGAGTTTGTTTGCTCGTCACAGATGTGATTGAGTGTTCGTCAGTTTAACAGCTTGTTGAGATAGATTTTGAGATATTTCAGCTCTTTTCGTGAGTGGGTCTGCATGCTTGGGTTCTTTTCATAACCACGCATACCCTATCAAAAGAGATATCCTCGTATGCGGCCACTGCAGTTTTGTCTGAACTTAAGGTGAAACTGCCTTTCATTTAGGAAACCCATAATTAAATGAATACATACTGCCAAATTACATGGAATCACTCAGGCTACAGAGCTAAGGCTGTGCGTTTCCCTGTCTTTCCATGTAGAGTCTACAGGTCTGCATGTAAGCCAAAGCGAGCGAACCCAGATAGTCTTCCCAAGCAATCCCGGTAACTATGGGAACAATGAACATGAAACCTGGACACTCACCACAGACAACCACCGACGCCTCCTGATCAGCTTCGAGAGCTTCGACACCGAGTCCTGCTGCGACCACTTGCAGATTTATGATTCCACAAGCGGTCAACGGTGGACGTTAAGCGGATCCTCACATCCCGCCATGCTGGTGTCTGTCGGAAACACCCTTCAACTAACGTTCAGTTCTGATGGAAGTGTGACAAGGACAGGGTTTAGCCTCCTCGCAAGCAGTATCGACAGGCAGGGTATGTTGAATATAGTAAGCTATATCCAACAGCGTTTCGCTGTTCCTTATGCAGGGACAATACCTGTACACTGGGTGAAAATGTATCACGTTTGAGGCACATATGCACAAGCAAACGAACACACCTCAGATACTCATGCATTTCCACGTCTTGCAGAACACGGAAACTTCAGCTGCAACTTCGAAGAAGGGTTTTGCGGATGGAAACTTTCAACCGAGGGCGATTCATATTGGACGCGCCAGCAGGGGCCAACTCCTACTGTTGACACAGGGCCAAATTTCGATAGGACGTTGGGTAGTAAGTGTTTGATCATGCATTATACTGCAGGAATATATTTCTCTTCTGTTACATGTATTTCATTCATGTCGTAAGCAGCGAAATGTCTGACGTCTGTGTTTATGATGAAGCAGCAAACTGCAAGTTTGGTGTGTCTTAAGCGAAGATGTTTCATGGATATTTCGTCACCATTTTGGGGCGGGCACTTCAAAGATAACCTTTGACCTTTTCCCCCACTCATTTTATCTATTTTCTTTAAACCGTTGCGCTCAAAGATTTTGACATGCTTTGGTATCAAGCAGTTTTCCCTTTATTTATTTTCTACAGGTAACTTTAATGTAATTTATTTAATTTTTATTTTTTCCCCAAAATTTCTCAACTACATTTATGATGCCATGGGCAGGCATCGCAGTGACAGGAATTTGTGTTCACAAAGGAAAAATGTCTGCCCTGAAACATGTACAAAACTTAGAAATCAGAAAGACATAAAAGTAAGTCAGGGAAACGTGGATTTTAGTGTTTACAAAGGGAAACACATCTTTACCTGTCTATTTCGGCTAATGAACCACTTTTTTCATTTCTAAGTTATGGGTTTGTGTAAAGGTTTACCTGTCAAGGAAACTTGTGAATTTTTTTTTCTAAAAAATAATTTTCCTACAAAGGCGTATTTTTGGTCTTAAAATAGTAGAAACGTTTTTTGCAATTTCCTCATAATTTAAATGTTCTTCAAAATCCATTGCTGCATTTTTATTATATAATGGGTCGATTGGATTATTACATTTGCGTTCGATTGTTAGTACATTATCGGCCGATTTTTATGACAATATCGGCCAGTATGACTTAATTGACCTTTTTTTTTTTACATTATCGGCCGTAATAACAGGTCTGCAAAATGGCAGCTCAATACAAGCGGGCCGGATGCGAGTTGCTTTCAACTTCAAATGACCAGCAAAAGCATTTTTCTTTTCCGAAATGGGTTGAAACCTCACATCTGTGCCGACAAGGAATGTGTCTTTACATGCATTTGCGGGAAATATAGGGGAGCCCAATTATTGGGGGGGGGGCTGCCCGTTGGGATTAACTTGGTTGACAGTGTATAATTATGCCTATAGTTGAAGCTGCTCAACACCATGGACGTGTTCTGCTGAAATTCCATTCAGTAATAATCATGAGGTCTTCGTTCAATTTTTCCTCAGTAAGATGTTCAAAATTGTGAGAATTAGTTATTCCAAATAATCATGATAAGAGTTGTTTGCATTCAAATGTGCCTATTCTCACTTTTCCAGGTCTTGCTAACACTTTTCAGGCCAAGAAAAATTATACTTAGAGGTTATTTTGACGCAGAGAACAGAAAATAAACATCATTTGTAAAAATTCTTAGCAAGGTTTTAACAATGCATTCTTGCGGTCGTCGTAACGTCACTATGGACTTTAGTTAAATACACGTCAAAGGGGCAAATTTGTCTTTGGTGATATTCAATAATCCACAGAGGTCCCCAGATGTTCGAACGCTAGAATTTCAGAAGAATGACATATCTGGTCTACGTACTCTAATTTTTATCTTTCACATCAATCCTGTGCAGGCAGAGGTGGCCATTACATTTATTCTTCACTAGGAAAGGGAAGTGAAGGCGACAACGCAATACTCATCAGTCCCTTGGTTTCACCGGGAGGGTTAAAGCTGGGGAACAACTGGTGCTTCAGTTTCTGGTACAATATGTTTGGGGGCGACATGGGTGAGAATGCTACATCATTTTACATACCAATTTCAAGAAGTTGGAATTACTGTTTGAAGTGAAGATATTTACAACAGCAGTAAGGAAATAAAAAACATAAGTCGTTAGTCCATGTCAACTGTCTTGGAAGGTTTGCTTTACTAATCTTACGTTGACATTCAGTATTTCAATCGGCTGCGGGAGTCTAACAATTGCTTAGTGGGCCCTATTCTTGTCCCGTGGGAAACCAAGCGACAGAAAGACGCGTTAACTACATGAAGTTACTTCATACTGCCATCCAACCAACCCATTTGCTCATACATATACAGTAATCAACCCTTCCGACATCCATCCACATGAATCTAGTCACAAACTATAGCTCATCAAGACCTGAAACCCAACCCAAATCACATTTTGAAACTGCAATATGTCTCATGTAAGAAGGTCTTATGTTATCATTTTGTTTCGTTTGACAGGAATGTTAAATGTGTACCGATTTCCAGTCTGGGGGAACGCCAGTGAAGGTGAACTCATCTTTAGTTGGAGCGGTCAATGTACGACCAATGTGGAGTGGCTGAAAGCTAGAGTTTGCGTACCAAATGCGACTTCAGAATTTGAAATTGCGCTGGAGGCAGTACGTGGTGACGGGTATCGCTCGGACATCGCCATCGACGATATTAAAATCGGTACGTATCGGTGTATCAGAAACCTGCAGTGGATATTAAATAAGAAACCCAGCGTTGTGAAGTTGTACATCAGTATTTTGTGTATTTGTGTTGATGTTTTCTTTAATTTACTCCGAATCGTTCTTTTAATTGTTTGCTTCATTTTCCCTAGCTGCTCCTTTATTTTTCAAGGTGAAGCACTTTCCCCCAGGGAAGTTCTTTCGCCTTTAAGGCAGTTTTTTTGGGTTGTTTGTACACTGCAGTAGTGTCATGTATTTTGTTTTGATTGGAAAAATCAGTGTAATTTGCCAAAATTAGGCAGGCTTCACGGGGATTCAGGAATCTTTCCCGGTAAATAATAAGTTCAAGCTCCACAATGCAGCAATAAGACGCTCTAACCAACTTATGTCACAAAATAATCATCATAATATGACAGGAACACTGTTTACGCTGTAGAAGATCCCTAGAAGCACTACAACATGACCGACAGTATTCCATTTGATAAGAAATTTGGCGTACAATGACCTCAAACTACGTTGTGCCATGCGCAATATAATATGCAAATGATTTCTTACTGCATTGGGCCCGATCTCAGGAAGGCTGTGCCTTATTAAAATACATCTTAACTTCAGATATATCCACCTTAATTGGAGGGGACTCTCTGTTGTTGAGTTGAGGGGCCTTTGTTTTCTTTTCATCTTTCAATGTAGATGCGCCTGAAGTTTTTCTTTTTAATTCAACTGAACCCTTTTTCGCCTGTGCTGGTAAAGTATTTCTGATGGAAGGGGTTGATCAAACTTTTACATGCGTGAGTGGCAACCCCAATGCAGAGCTTGTATGGGTGTTGGGTGATCAGCAAGTACCAGCGACAGATAACAATTTTCACAACAGAGATAAAGTGACTGTCAGTAGTACCGTACTGGTTTCCTCGACGAGGGATATCCATGGAGTGGTCTTACAGTGTCTTGCTGTGGATGCCGATCACAAGGTTCTCGACAGTAGCAACGTGACACTTGCTGTTAAAGGTAAGACATTCTGCAGTGTCTGTTGTAGAATTGTTCAAGAACGGGGTGCCTCCCCCAAAAGAGGAAAGTATCAAGGGTGATATTTATTTTCACCAAAACGAAATGCCTAAACTTGTTATACCAAATTGAGGTTAGGGAGGTTAACTTTTAAAAAATGAAACTTTCATTTATAATTCTACAAAATGCGTTACATAATTACTAAGATTACCTAATAACAGACACTTGTCGAATGGAGCTGTTCAGCCTTAAACTTTAGGATAAAGTAAGTCATTGGCAAGGCAGGCAAAATACAGATTCTAAAGTAACCAGTTTCTTGTTTGTTACAGCTTTTTTATTTACAACCTAAAAGAAGGGACACCGAAATGGTTCAACGTAGTTAAAATCAGGACCTTTTTAAAATTAACGGAGGTACACTGTACAAATTCAGCTGATTTTTTTTTCTGAGACACGCTTTAAAGCTCTAGGAAATCCCAAATCCCCTGGTTTCAGCGTGATTTAATAAACACCCTTGGGAGTTAAGTTTAAACTTTGAAACTGCACGATTATTTAAAACCGTTGCCTTCTAAAACGGGCATCAATTTCATCAATTTAGAGCTTCAAAGAAATTTGAAAGAGTCTTTCACGACGGTTGTGAGATAATTTAATGTCAATTACATTCAATGTACTGACTGCATGGATTTACAAGATACACCGTGCGGATTTCCATTGGACAAAACAAAAATGAAAGGTGTTACGTAGTTGAAAATATCTCTTGAATGCATTTTAATCTAAAAGAAAGTGTCCAGTTTCGGAAAGATAACACCCTCAACTTTAATTTGATATAATAAGCAACATGATAGAAACATTATTTGGGAGGAAGTCAATGTTACTTTTGATTTACATTGATTTTGGATCAATCTGGGTATACAGAAATATTGATTGGTTTTTGTAAGCTCACTCGCATGGCGGTTTTTTATTTGTGACGTTTCGATTATTAGTGTCCAATTTATTTAAAAACGTTCATAATACAAAATCTTCCAAAACATTTTTCCTACCGAATATGTGACCCACTCTGTGAAAACGAATCTTATGGTGCTTGAGCCACTTTTTCAGTTTTCAATTGTATTGGAAAGACGAAATTGAGTTTTTTGTTTTGTGATATCACTCAGTTTGGTATCCTGATGAAAGTGAGTAATCCATGGTGAAAAATGCCGTGGGTTCCTTTTAATTTACAGTGTGCAAAATTATTCTTTAAGGAATTTTTACTCCAAAGTGGCTCTGGGCGACTTAAGATTCATTTTCACAGACTGAGTCACATATGTATTCATTTTTTCTGCTTTTACCAATATGATTTTCATACATTAGAATTCTATTGTGAAGTGTTGACGGCACGTTCATTTGTAAATTATTAGTTACTCCAAAAGCATCGTGGATCTCCTTGATTGGTTCTGGTGGCAAGGAGCTCACACCTGGTGGGACGGTGAAGGTGGACAGTGGTATACCATACACCTTTACCTGCAAGGCTAACGACACGTGGCCTCACGTGCAAATCCAGTGGTACCTCAATGGCACCCTGCAAGAAACATTCAGGCCTAATTATGGAGCCACTGAAGACAGCTGGACATTCACTCCTACACTAGAGAGCCACAGGAAAGAGGTGAAATGTGTGGTGAGGACTCGAAAATTGTCGGACGCTCACGTAGTTTCAGCAGTCATACTGATCAGTGGTAAGTAACACAATTTTAATGTAGTACAGTAACTGATTTAACAACTGCATCTTATTGTTTAAAAGCCAGCAAGATATCAATTAAGTAGCCCCAACGTACAAATTTGTCAAGGAAGTACACAATCTTCACAGAGCTTCATTTTGCTGTGCGGTTTTCATTTTTTCCCGTATTGTTTTTGTTTCCCAAATGTAGTGTTCTGAAGTATGCTTAAAGCTTTTTCCCACTTTCGACTTACCAAGAGTATAGTCTTGCTCCTTTGGATATTTGTGGTGCAAGGTACTGGTTTCAGATAAGGTGTGAGGAGTAGATGGAAAAGCTGTTGTTGTTGTTCGTACTTGTTGCAGCAAGTTTACAATTCAACTGCACCTTCGAAGAAGGGAGCTGTGGTTGGAGACAATCAGCGGAGGACAGTTCAGATTGGTTGGTGCATCACGGGCCAACTCCTAGTAGTCGGACAGGGCCAAACTTCGACAGAACACTGGGCAGTAAGTGTTTACTTGAACTCTGTGCAAATCATGTGGACAGATTTGGGATTTTGCCCAAAAGGACAAAACACAAGGGGAATAATTAAAAGGGTTCCCGATAGCTTGTCCAAGTATCTGTACGTGGTTTGCCTACGGGGTGGGATTAATTATATTGCGGGGACAGTCGAACACAATACTCTAGGTGGCATATAGCGAAAAACACCGTGCCTATCTGCGGGCACAGAAGGTTTTCACACCGCATTCTTTAAAACACAAGTCGTGTATGAGGGAAAACAGTCTCCCTCGATGACCGGTTCTAGTTTTATTTATGCTAGGTCAGTTAAAGAAATAAAGATAATAAATAAATCAACCTGAAATATCTTCTGCATCGTCAGTGTGAACCACGCATGCTCTCAGTAGGGTTGGTTTTATTGACATCTTTTCGCATTAACGGTTTCCTCCATTTGAAGATGCAAGTGGATATTACATCTATTATGAAGCGACCCCTGGAGGGAAGGGCAGCAACGCTATACTCTTAAGCCCCCCAATTTCACCAAATAGCAGTCAACTAGCAAACAACTGGTGTTTCAGTTTCTGGTACAACATGTTTGGAAATGATATGGGTAAGAATATGTATACATTTGAGAACTACAAAATAGCAAAAGCGGACTCCAAAAATTGAGTGAGAAAATAAATGAAACATATTTCAGAAAGGGTGATGTAGAAATTCCAATATGTTACTTTTGTAAAGATCGATCTCGGACATTTAGAATTTTTTTCTCGTTTGTCTAGCAAAATCTTCAATGCTGTCCTGCGCTCTGTCGCTTGTACCACCCCTTTTACCTTTTGAAAGGTAATGTTCAATTTATAAACCCTTTGACAAGGTGGTGCATGCAGCCAGCCATTACTCCAGTTAATCTGTTCCATCTCAGTCCCTGGAGTCCTTCAAGGCTGTAAGCAGACGCTAGCCTAACCTAAAAACCCCAATATAAAGGACCCTTTTCAGGAGAATAATTTTATACACATTTGAAATCCGTTATGTTCTCTATAGCCTTGCTGTAACGTCCTCTCTGTTATCCGAGTTTCTGTAATTTTAAAATAAGGTATCTTCACGCAGATAAGGAAAAATTAATAAAGCATTGAAGTCGTGGGTAACAGTGCTAGCTGCTTGTATACTGGTGTACAGTGTGTCTCTTATCTTGTTGGTGGCCAGGGAGAGAGTGAGTTCAGACAGCTGGGGATACAAAAGCCACCGGTAGGCTCTCGGGAAGGACGTTTTGTCTTAGGATCAGAATGGCTTCCCTGAGGTGGTGTGAAGGCCAGAGGTTGACAGGCAGTACGCTGGAAATGGGAGAACCAGCTGTCACTGAGGATGAATATTGGGAAACGGTCTTGTGTTTGGGGATTATAATAACTTTGCTGAGGCGGTGTGGACTCTAATGGTTGATGAAAACGATTACCTTGGCTAGGTAGTGGATGATACGGTGAATGTGTCTTCTTGGTGGGAGTGCATAAAGGCAGATTCTTCAGCTTACCCTGTTTTACGATGAGCTTGGTGTACCATAAGGCAGCTGATCAAATCTGTACGATTTCCTTAGCACATTTTGCCGCATTTGGTAGGCCTATGTATTGTTTTGTGGATGCGCTCATTGTATGTCACTATCAGAATGGGACCAAGCTTGGATCTGGCTTGGGCTTTGAATGACCTCAATGTTTGACTGAAGATGGGCTGCAGATTGTAAACAGGATGTATAACCACTTTAGGGGAAGATAATGATACCCTCGTGTTCTGCTGGTGTTTGGTTATTCGGCTAAGCTGCAAACGTTAAAACTTGAAGGATGTGTTGATCTGCCCAAGCTCTTGAGAATATTGTCCTGGACGCTGATATGTTTTTCCGCTTTTAAACTTAAACGGAACGTTGTCTTGAAGTGGGAATGTGAAAATACTGGTCAGTGTTTGTGCGCTATCGGCAGACTCTCTGTGTTATGGTTTCGTCAGGTTTACGGGTAAGGTTGACACCTAAGAATGCAGTGGTGTATTGTTTAGCCTTTGGTTAGTGACGAACGTGATATCTTGGTTTGGGGAGCCACAAGAAACAGAACCGTACGGTTGAAGGAATACTTCCAAATGTAGCCAAACCATGAATGTATCGTTGATATAGACAGCAAGAGACTTGGGTTGCAGTTCTCTCACCGAACTCTGTGACCAAGCCATCCAGTACAGGAGATAATGGAAGTCTCACCGACTGCTCTTCCAAGGGACGAAGCAGGTCTTTCTAAAACACATTGCCTCCCTGCAAGGGTTTAAAATGCATGTTTCATGATGTTTGTAATTGAATGTTTTGTTGTGGTTGTTTGATGCAGAACGATGGCAAGCTAGTTGAATTTGTGAAGAGATCGGTATATGTTCACATGTGTATATGTTCTGCTGGTGTTCCCCACAGTGATAAATTAGACTCGCTGCGATGAGATACGAGCCTCCGACATGAAAGGAGGCTCTTTATCGTACTGCCACACGGCGTACAGTTTTCAATTATCTTACGTCTCGGATAATTTTATAGTGCATGTGTGTTGTTTTCAAAACTTAAAAGTCGCTTCCACTTCCTGCAGGAACGCTAAATGTCTACCAGCTTCCATTTAGAGGGAGTTTCAGCGACGGTGAACTCATCTTTACAAGAAGCGGGGAATACACAACTGGCGTAGAATGGTTGAAAGCAAGAGTGTGTGTACCGAATGCGACCCTAGAATTCGAAATTGCACTGCAAGCGGTGCGCGGTGAAGATTTTCGCTCAGACATCGGAATCGACGATATTAATACCGGTATATGTTTTATCATTGTTCATTTTGATATATCAACAACCCCCATAACAATACAAATACTGTAGAATATTTCATCAATTCCGATGAAGTCATTCACCCATGACACCGATTTAGCCTTCCTATTTTTGATTTAATGTTAGAACTTGGCCGTGACGTGCCCCCCTACGCTAAGTTGTGTTGTGCTGTGCTGTGTGTGTTCAGGTTTTGTATTCGAGAATAATACCTTGCTATTTTTTCTAATACTAAGTGTTGAAAAGTGTTGACAATTTTTGAAGGAGATCAATATAAAGCGACATTTTTAGTGTCGTAAGAATAAGAGTTCTGATATCTTAAAGGAAAAGGAGTCTATGAAAACTACAACTGTTACGAAGAGAGCCATCGTCAAATTCAGTCTCCTCCTTTATTCAGCGAAAACACAAAGACCTGCGAAATTCATCGTTACCGGAGCAAATATCAATGAATTGTTTCATTTAACCCCTCAGTTACCCCTGGAATTTACCTCTTCGATTCAACCGAAAACTACCCCTCCAGTGATGGAAAAGCATTTCTGATGGAAGGTGTAGGTCACGAATTTACGTGCATGGTCAATGATAACCCCGAAGCAGAACTGGTGTGGATCTTGGCTGATAATTCGATAGCGGCAACGAGCCAAATGTTTGACAACACAGATGATTCAACTGTCATTAGTAACGTCCTGGTGTCACCTACTTTCGACCTACATGAAACGATGCTACTGTGTAAAGCTGTAGACATTGCTGGTTCGTTGATCGACAACATCAATGTGACAATTGTTGTAGAAGGTAAGGTGCTCTTAATTGTTGAAAGTGTTTTTAGTATTTAGATTTGACGATATACAATTATTGCTATCAAGGGAAAAGCACTTTAGGCCATGATGTTTAAATGAAATGAATATATGACAATAAATGCATAAATTAGCAGCGTTCGAAGGAGAGATCTTTTTCATCTGGCGCGCAAAAACCAGGGTGATTTTAAATTTTGCCCTTTTTTCATGATAGGATCCTAAAGTGACTAAGGAATCGAATTCCTACATTTTACGAAGATTCAATCTCATTAATAGCTCTTATGGTGTAGGCCTAGCAGGTCCTCTGTTATGTAGCGCATGCAAATACCTTTTTACGGAGATTAGATTTTGTTACAACGCAATTAAAACGCCGTTTCTCAGCTTGAGTCGTTAGTATTCCGAAAGCTTGAGAGCAAGTTTGAGGTATCATTCTGAATTACTTTCTTTCAGTTACTCCGAAGGCATCAAGGATGTCCTTAATTGGTTCTGGTGGCCGGCAACTTACACCTGGTGGGACAGTGAACGTTAACCATGGTATACCATATACTTTTACCTGTGAGGTCAGAGATACGTGGCCTCAAGCCAAAATTCAGTGGTACCTGAATGATGTCCTGAAAGAAAGCTTTATTCCTCCTAGAGAGAGTGATGGTCTAGTCACCACGGAACACAATTGGATGCTAACTCCATCTGCTGATAGCCATGGCTTGGACGTAAAATGTGTGGCGGCCACAGCATCTTCCCTGGACGCCAAAGTATCTGTAGCGGTCAAGCTAGTTGTAAAAAGCAAGTATAAGGAAATGTATAATTACGCAGGAGACTGTGCATTTCGTGATGAAGTAATTATCGCACTGTAAGGTTTGAAAATTTCGTTCATCTGAATGAAATATGTGCATAATTTTTTTTCAGATAAAACAGTCTTCAACTGTACCTTTGAAGAGGGGTTTTGTGGTTGGATGCAATCAAAGCAAGACAGAATGGATTGGATCCTTCGACAGGGAGGAGCTCCTTCCTCTTCAACCGGGCCAGCTTACGACCACACACTGGAAGGTAAGTGAGGATAACAGTGCAGAAGACATGTTTCCATGTTTCAAAGGTGGTATTTTTTGGGGATATTCATTGACAGTGATTAATTAGACTTCGGAGTTAAGAATCGGATGCGTAATGTGAAGATTTCACACACATTTTCAGAAAGAGGTATTAGAACACCGATATGCGATTTTTATGTACTGTTCTTATTCAAATTTCAATCCATTCTACACAAGATATTTACGCAGTCAATTAATTTATTCAACCTCAATACCTTAGCTTCCAGTGGCCGTTACACGTACTATCGAGCAAGCCGGAGGTCTGCAGGCTCAAACGCATTGTTTATCAGTCCAGCAATCGTGCCCTCCAAACAAACTTTCAACTTTCCGTGGTGCTTCAGTTTCTGGTACAACATGTACGGAAGCAATATGGGTATGTCTACTAGGACGTCGGGTAATATATTTCACAAAAAACAGAACGATGTTCTATGATGACTAAATTAAGTTCCATTTTGAAAAATATTTATATTTTTGTTAGGAGGTGGTTGGTTTTTTGTTGACAAGTGAAGGAGATTGTGATTTAATTTTTTGACAAGATTGTTAAAATTGTGTTTTTTCTCGTTTGAAGGCTGGTTATTATTGGGACAAGCCATACATATAGTTAAACGCAGCAAAATTGCCCCACAATGGCACTTAAAATCCACGTCAGATAGGACATCACATTTTGACCATGAACAACAGCAGGGCATTTTCCAATAAAGAAAACCGACTATTTGATCAGAAAGACAGAAATATCCATCGACCTACAAAGGAATCAATAACTTAAAAAAATAAACATCTCTCTTTTTACTCTTGATTACAGCTCAAGTTTTTCCCTTCAGGTGATTGTTGATTGATCTGTATGTGTAACATACACCTTATGTGGCAAAGGATGCTCACAATCAGTGTAGAAAAGCACCAGTTTCCTTTTTGAATATTACAACTTCAACCAGTTCTAGATTTTGAACAATTTATTGCCTAATCAAATTGAATAAAATGTGCCCAGAGGCAAGGGTCGGTTTTGTCCACACGTTTCGTGCCTCATCGCAGCTCATCCGTTGGGAGGGGGTCATTATCTTTGGCGCAACGTACAATAATCAACTGAATTTTGGGAGTCCAAGTTGCGCCGACATATGTTGGAACTTACTCCTCCTTGGGTGGGTTAGAGCCTTCAATCATAGGGGGGGACTTAATGACTTTCGCCAATTACACTTGTAGCAATCCTGCAGTGTAAGCTGCCCATAAGCTGCAGGATCATTTTACAGCGTGAGAATCGAGGTATAAACCAATACCTACATTCCGAAACCACCTTAATTTCTTAGCGTTTTTAGATCAGGTCCCTCAAAAAAAAAATCAGAAAACATCAACAAAATGCTAGGTTTTTCTCTCAATACCGGGTTTAAAAAACAGTCCTCTAAAGGGGGGTCTTTCCCAAGGACCCCTCTGTATCCACCTGTGGCTTTTTAATTGGTACTATCACTACGCAGCTGAGAAGAGGCGTAATTATCTGCATCAGATCTAAATTCTATCCACAAACGTTCCAGACCCACAGTAATCCGTGATAAAATTTGTTTTCTATTTAAACGATTTTCGATAGGTACTATGAATGTGTCCCGTGTGTCCATTGGCAAAATGGTTACTGACGGTGACGTTCTTTTTTCAAGAGGCTGCGAGCAGACGAACAGAACAACCTGGCTTAATGCCGAGATTTGCATCACAAATTTATCTTCAAGCTTTTTCATAGCGTTCGAAGCAATACGCGGAAGCGGGTATTTGTCGGACATGGCGATTGATGACGTTGAATCTCGAGGTAATGAATATTTACTGTACCTGCCTAAAATGCCTTTTCACTTCAGCACTTTTATTTCAAAAAGTAAATTTTAGTGTCTACCTTGAATGTTATTCGTTATGAAAAGTCTGTCTCCTTTGTAAAAAACGAGACAGGGTAGATTGAAGTGGTCATTCCTCCCCTTTGATCCTCAGGATTGTTCATTTCTGAATGTACAGTGGATTTATCAGGTATCAAGTCAAGGTCGGTACTCCTTTTAACCCTAAAAGAGCAGGGACGAGGAATCTGCCCCCTTTTTTCCCCCAATATCACAGCAGTGCATCTTTGTTAGGAGTTCAGCCTTTCGAAGTTTTTAAAATAACTCTTTGCAATCAATGAAAAAACATGTTTTGCAAAACTTAAACCTACCATTACCGCGCAGCGCTCCTTTCACCGAACACGGGTCAGTCACAAATGTTTACTTTTTCCACTACTTTGCTCAATGTACGGGAGCTGGAACGTACGTAGCCATGAACCTCAGATGACCGAAACCAAATTAACCATATTTGAGTTCAATTTTTACATTTATGATGATTAAAGGAAAGTTTTAACACATATGCAAAGTTACAAAAAAAAAAAAAAAAAAAAAAACGGGCTTGGCACAGCCAACCAACCCCCGGCTTTGCGTTGGGCCAAATAACCCCGGCTCCTTTTTGTTATTTTGTAAACGCTATTTTTAACCTATGCAGATGATAACAGTCATAATCATGTGATATCCCCTACAAATAGACGGGACATTTCCCGATTAGCACAGCAAAAAAGTCTGTGACCACGGAGTTAAACACTTCACGTGGATTAAATTAATGCTGCCCATTGAAATATCACAGCCTCACGATAAAGTGTCCACTAATTTTCACTAAACCGATACATTTATAGGAAGATATTATCACTTCATAGTTGGCTGGTTACTAGCTGTCTGTTCGATACTTAAAAGCTGTCTCTGCATGGCTTCAAAACGTTTCAAAATAAAAAAAAATGTATCACAGATATGTTTCACTTGAGTGCCCCGTCATTTTGTTGTGTATGGCAGAACAGATTGAATGCCATTTTAAGGGAATTCTGAGAATTAATGTCATTCTAAAGGTATTCTGAAAAATCATGTTTTTGAAATAGATTACCAGTAAAAACCGGATTTCCTTTTTCAGTGCATTGGACATCTATCACTTTAAATGACTGGTCTGGTAACTACCCTTCCTTTGGAGATATTGTGTACGCTTTTGCGGGCGAACAGCGCCGGTTTACATGCAGCGTGCCTGATGTCAGCACGCCCATCTCACTCTCATGGGAGCTGGGAGGACGTGAGGTTTCTCCTGACTCCAGCGATAACTCCACAGACAGCAACGGGTTTATCACTAGCACGAGCACGATAACACTGGCCATTACTGGGAAAAACCATGGAGAGCTGCTGCAGTGCTTAGCGTCCGTCGCAGGTGGACATCCTGTTGTCAACATTTTGGTTATCCTTGATGTTAAACGTAAGATGAAGCTCCAAATATTTTTCTACACCTGCGCAGCCCCGCAGAGTAGACAGTGCCAATGTCCAGACATAGAGAAGAAATGACTTTATTCATACTTCAGTGTTGACCCACAAAGTTTATACAAGGAGGCATGACGTCCAGACTGTCGGGGGGGTGGGGCTGAGGAAAGGGATGCAATCCTCAAGCTCGCTCAAGAAATTTACCATCTTGCTCGTACCATCTAATGGCTTAAAAGTTTGATGCTGCTGGGGAAAATCCTGATAAGCCGAGGGACAACATTGTAATGTTTCTTGTCATGAGTTACTTTCTACATAAAGGGAGCTAACATCGACTCTACTCTTTTTGTATACTTTCAATAACTACGAAGCCCAAGATGTTCTCACAATAGAGTAACGACTACCCACAAAAGGCTATATTAAATTATTTTCTGACGTACAGGAATTTTAACAGATATGAATATTTTTTGTAATATTTTTCTTAGTATTATGAGGAGTTCCTGTTTTGTCAATAACTTTTCATTCAGTACAACCAACGGCCACCGATATGCTTCTATACGTTGCCAGTCCAACCGGGTCCCCAGTTGCACCCAGCACAGACGACGGAACACCACGATCCATAAAGTGTGAGGTGCTGGATACCAGACCAGCAGTAACTATTCAGTGGTTCCTGAATGGCGAATTAAAACGTACTACGAACCCACCTACTGGAGGGGATGATGTGCTGGTCAGTACCGTGGATACTTGGTTGTTCACCCCCAGTCGAGCTAATCACGGCCATGAGGTGAAGTGCGTAGCGAACAATTCAGAGTCTGAAGAACCGTTCCCGTCGAAGGTGCTCACTTTGCTAGTAAACAGTAGGTAGTTTGGGCTTCATATTTGTGCGATTAGTTTTTCAGTTCCTGCCGCACAGAAGAGAATTTCGAAAGCTTTCCACCGATAGCTTTTGAATGTAGAGCATGTGCTTATAGTTAAAGTTTATGTGTTGATATATATTTACCTGAATGTGTGAGGGTACCTGGGTATCACGAGCACCGGTATCCTAGAAAAAGCATGAAAGAGAAACCCACTTAAAACGTGAAAAATGGTGTCAGACTGCCAGTCCTAATTCAAAACAATTATTAACAACAAAACTGAACCTAAAATCGTTTCTTTTTTTCATCTCACGTATCATTTCATTAAATCCTGCAACTAAATCAGTTGTTCATGAACATACCTTTCAATCCTTTCATTTGTCTGAACAGTTGGTAAGTAATTTGCGTAGGCTGTTACAAGCTGTCTGCACCACACCTGTGAACCGATTTTTTGCAGTTTTGGTCGTGTTCTTAAGTTCCCAATCCTTGTGTGCAGCCCTACACAAACGTACAAAAAGGGTAACAGTAGGAGCGCCCGTGAATGAAACTCGAATTATAAACTCTTTAAATGTGTTTTTGTAAAGCCAGAAATTCGACCGACATTTCACACATTTATCTCCTGTGTGCTTCGTTTTTATCACTGTTTTGCAGGCCCTCCAGACATTCCCACCATCATTGGTTCCCTTAAAATGATGGCCAATGAAACGAATACCTTGGAATGCCTGGGATATATGGGATACCCTGATGACTGGATACTGGTTTGGTCCATCGGTCAAGCTCTGGTTCCGAGTACTACCACTTCTGAAGCACTTGGCCAATGGTTCACATTCAAGAGTAGAATCATTTTTAAACCTCAAAAGGAGGACAGCGGCGAAAAAATAACCTGCCTTGCAAGGAGACGCTCTTGGACGAGACCACTGACACAGAGAATTTTTGGACCCATAGACGTTCAGTGTAAGTGGTACTCCATATTTTAGTGCTAAATTCATACCTATCAGTCTGGGAACCGAGGCTAAGGCCTCCATATGAAACGTTATCGTTTACGTATGCAACTCGTCTTACAGAATGTCTTAATGACATATTTGTACAGATACTGATGTAGGGACTTATTAAGTATTGCGACCAGTTCAACTGGTTACACCTAAAGTCGATGAGTAGGTTGTCAAAATAATTTACATATTGAAATATACGTGTGACAGCATACCTCATCTGCAAAGAGTTTTCAGACTAGAAAATAATCACTTGAAGTTTTGCATCTTTTGTTATTTTCATGCACATTAATTCGAGATGATCTTTATGATTCTGTACGCATGCAGTGTAAATATCATGTATTTATATTCTTTTGTTTCTGACCACGCCCACAATTGGAATGTGGACAGTAATAGAACATGAAGTGCAACTATCTAATGAATGGAAATTCCTATCGCATGGTGATCTGGCAAAATCTTTTAAAATACTGCATTGAAAATGTATAACATCCAAACTGTGAGTCTCCGCTGTTGTCCATGGTCATGTCTGCTAGCGCTAATTAGGGTAAAATACTTAATTTTTAAAACCGAATCTGTTTTTTATGCGTAAGGAAGGAAACCTACACTCGAGAGAGTTCATTAAAGATGAAAATGCATCCCCGTCTGTTGCTGTTATACGCTGAATATTTTGTTCAAATTGATGTACAAGTCACGTACCCAAAGGTATACCAAGGAGTCAGGATAAATATATCAATTTTAATACCATTTTACATCTGATTTTTGTTTTCTTTTGTACCATCAGATCCGCCAGAGTTTTCAGGGGTAAACATTTCCCAACAGGGGCCAATTAGCGAAGGTGATGACGTCATCCTGTATTGCAACGCCGACGCCAATCCTAAGCCCTCAAATTTCATCACGTGGGAGAAGGTTGGGTCTCCTGACCCTCTTCCTTCCGTCTACAGCGATGGTACAAGCACTCTGACGCTATTTAGCATCAGCAGGGAGCAGGCTGGGCGGTACAGGTGCCGTGGGGACAACGGTGTACCACCCATAGCGGTTTCCCGTCTGATGGACGTCATTTTACGTTGTGAGAATTCGTTTCATTTGGATAAGAAATACTGCCTAGTCAAACCCAAGATCAAAGGAAGCACTTATTTCAGCTTGTCTATTCCATTCAGCGTCAGATTAACGTCTTAGTGGTTATCGTCGATTCCACATGATGATACAATACCTCGAATGAATGGATAGGCTTATCGACGTAAGGTTTCCTGTCAAATGTGGCAGCCTTGATAGTACAGCAAATTCCTAAATTAGCAGAGAACCATAGGTTTTGAGAATGACCGGACTTACTTGTTATATATGAGGGTATAAAACGTATTCATGTCTCTTCATTCTCTCCTGTTACATTTCAAAAAGTGAAACCTCTTCCACCTGTGGACGTCACAATTCAAAAACGACGTCGCACTAAAGAGTCTCTGACGATTGCATGGACTACAGGCAGCGATGGAGGCGAAGAGCAATGGTTCTACGTCAATTACAGAGAGCTAGAGTCTACACCCGTCTTTGACCCCGCTACCCGAAGCATCAGGCTGCGCGGCGTCAGTGAGTACACGCTGGTCGGTCTGCATCCTGACACAGCATACGAGGTTGAAGTGTTCGCAGAGAACGCACATGGTGCCAGCAGTGCCGTGACAGCTGTGGGGACAACTGATTTAGGTAGTTCCAGCAGGTTTATAACTCCATGGGTCTAGTGCCCCATAATTCTGTGTCACTCGCCTGATGCGCGAAATAACACGTGAGGATGTGAAAGCCACCGAATCGCAACTGAAATTGGTTTCCTTTTATACAGACATTTTTCACGCTACATCCTTAAAGGCAAATTATCATCTACCCGTAAAAAATTGGTGATAGGAAGGCCAAGCTGGCATCTGATTGAGCTCATGATTTAATTAAAATAGAGCCATGTTGATAGAAAATGTAGTGCTCAATGGTTGTCTCTTCAAAATGTTTTATTTCATTTTGTAGAGTTTGACCTGCCAAACTGGTCCCTGCTCACTGCTGTTGGAACTCTAGCGATACTATTAGTCTTGAGCGTCACTGGGAACCTTGTTTTCTGCCAAAAAAGGTCCATAAAAACTCCCAGGAAAGGTAAGTACGTGTTTTCAGATCTTTTGAAATAATTAGTTCTACTGTAACGCTGGTCAATCTCCCTAGCTCCAAGCTACAAAATTTGACGAATAATTTTGCATGCTGTAAGTAAAGGCAAGTAGGACTTTCCAAAAGTCGCGTGAAATTTCAGTTTATTAACACATTGCAGGTGCTGCCAGACGGGTGGAAGATGCAGTCGTCCCTTTTAACTAATTGAACATTTCGTCTGTTTTATCCTGTCAATTTGACCGAAAATATCCATTTTAAATTTGGTTTCCTACAATATCTTCAGGTTTTTATTTCTGAAAGTTTCACCTATGTCAGTATGCTGGAATATCAATTTAGTCGTCTGGGCATCAATGGTATGGAATTCTCTTATGATTCCAAGTTGTTTTAAAATCGTTGATAAAATCTGGAAAAATCTCTTCTTTTTTCAGAAAATCGAAAATGGGTAACAAAAAGGTAAGTTCTCATATTTTGGTAGAACCAAAAATTGATAAACTTGGCAGCTGTAATTCCTTATTTTTTGTTTTACTGTAATGTGTGATTTGGTAGCAATTGCATCGAATTTTTTGCTTGAAAAGGGATATATGTGATAACTTGGGCCCACTGCTATTATTGCTGGTGCTTTTGTGACGAACATGAACGTTGCGGGTGCGTTTAAAATAAGCCCGACAGAATAGCCATTTTAGGGTTACGATACATTTGAATAAAATATGGTGTACTGAGTTACCTGACTGCACATGAATTTAACAATTTGAATTCCCAAGACTAAAGACACTGTTGCAATACCTCGTGATTCAGGGCAAGCTTTTGCATAGTGACCAAAATCTACTGGGTGAACTGGTTCCTTTGTGCCCTTCTTACCCACTGAAAACAGTGTATTGGTGCATGACTTCTTTTATGTAAATAAGCTTGCCTCGAATCACGAGGTATAGCACAGTGTTTTAGTAAGGAGAATTCAAGTTGTTTTGTTCGAGTGAATTTTAAAAACTTAGTGTACCTTATTTTATTAGAATTTAACTCGCAAAAGGCTTATTCCCATTCATTATTACAGTCAACTATCATGTTTAGTGCGTGTAAGATGCCGCCAGGTAGTTTGAATGAAGGAGAAATGAGCAACTGCCTAATCTGAACAGTCGTTTCAACGGATAAAGAGAGCCAGAACTGAGGAATTTGAAAGCCTTTCTTTTGCCTAGTCCTTGTGGAAATTTTTGATGTATACATCCTGTGCTAAAAGCGAAAGGAATACATTACACATTCAAAAGCGACTTCCGTGCACGACTTCATAGCGAGGCGTCAGCTACTGCCGCCATCTTGACCAACCTTTGAATAAATGTTTTCAACAGTGTTTGCCTTTTATGCAATGACCCATAATGTGTGCTTCCTGTTGCAGCTGATTTTAGCTTTCATTTTATTTCTCTGTTTTACGAAAAACTTTTACTGGTTGTCACCAACAGGGAAACAGAGAGTGGGGTGTTGAATCGGATTAAGGAAACCGGTGAAAACTACGAAAACGTTGGTAGGTGAGATTAATAGCACAATATAGGTGAAAGATGGAATGTTGTACATTCTGGCTTTCGAAATCGATTCACAAAATAATAAAAATAAATTGTATGATGAAACGCATTTATGGGCATAGCAGCAAAACATGCGAGGAGCGCATTGAAGGTAAACAAGGGCACAAACTTGATGGTTGTCATTTTGGATTATTTTCTCTAAGTTTCCTTCTGTCTTTGTCTTCAAGAAACCCTGTTATATCGGCATACCTACAAATGTCTGGTAGAGAAAGGTTTTATGGTGCAAGAAATAAAGATTTGAGAACTTGCTTTCGTTCCAAGTAAACAACAATCAAACGAAATTCCTTTGGGAATGTGTGCAGTAAATTACTCTGCGATTTGGGGTACCATTCACCAGTGTACATGTAGATGACGCTTTGCATGTGCAAACGACCGTGATTAATTGTGGGGGATGATCTGGATGACCGTGGCAATTTGAAACATTGGGGGAGGGGGTGCTAGCAGTATTTGAAACTGAGGGATGATGCTCACGATGCAGATTTATGTTCGTAATACACATTACAGTACATTCCTGCAAACTGTACATGAAAACGGAGTATTAGTGTGTGTGCGTTTTCCCTTTTTCAGGTGTTTTTGCATATGTAAATCCCTGGGGTCAACGGGGCGGTGATACAGATCGACAGGTATCGCGAAAGATGGTCATAACATTTTTTTCTAAATAAGTCAACTTAGTAGAAATTCCTTGTAATTCTAACCCAAGGCATACACCACAAGCCTGTAAACTCCCATTGGCTAGACCCAAACCACTGCTGAGTTATAATCCTTAGAAGATCAGTCACCCCTAGGAGCCCATATGGTCTCTATCAGGAAGTGGATCTCTCTGTGTACAGACATGTGCCAACTGGTCACGGCTGTTTGGGTTGGGAACTGGTATTACTAATACTTCCACAACAGCATGATGAACTATAGTTAGAGGGTACCCGGGGATGTATTAGATACCATAAAACAGCCGTACAGGTTCAACCAGGACCGGGAACTGACCCGGTGATGAGAATCTCTACGTGTTGACTCAACGATTCGTGTATGGGCGTGGCTGATCGAAGGGTAAATACATTTTGGTTGTTAAAAAAATCCGAAATCAATTCTTCACAATTGACCTTATTTTTTCTCACCACGAGAAAGTGCTGTAACATTACATGTGTTGTGTGGACTTTTTAACAAAAATGTCCACTCGAAGCAGGAAAACGTCCTGTGGACTAATCCATGTTCACAACTAACTTACTACTGAAAAAGAAGTTGAAAGACATTTGGGATTAGGGTCATTTGTTATGAAACGAAGTGGAACAATCAAGGAAACATTTTTCAAAAACGCAGTTCATTGTGTTCCAAGCTCAAGACAAATGAGTATTTTCACCGAGTGTCTGTAACTGCAGGAAAACAAAGGAATTTTCGCAATGGGTAAGTATCATGGGTGGGCGTTGTTTCTGCATTCAACTGGGGACCCTGAACAATAGAGGACAATAAGGTCCCCGATTCACACAGGGTCCCCGATTGACAACAGTGTACAAACATATGGATAGTCTTCTAAAAAGTTCAAGCGCAAACTAAAGAGGGACAATATGGGGTCCCCAGTTGCAGGCAAATACACACTTGTGTGTGTATGTGGGGGAATTCAATGAAACAGTGGATACCTGTACTATTGTATCCCTATCGCCCGAGATTACGCCCTTGCACTAAAAAAATGCTTTTCGCTATTCAGAGGTTGTCTTTAGATTTTTCTCATGGCACGTCATTGAATTCCTTTGCGTTACACCTATTTGCAGGCATAGTTATGCAGACCATTCATGCTGAAAACCCTGGACCGGTTGAATCCACGTATGCGGACATTCCTGACTGCCGGGCTGCATTCTCGCGAGACCAGCTGACTTTCTTGCGAGAGCTCAGCCGGGGCGCCTTCTTCAAATTGCTGCTTGCCAAGGCCAATGGCATCGAACGGCAAGGCGTTGTTAATCCTGTGGCTGTTAAGACCGTAAAAGGTAGGGGACCTGCCAGTCTTAATGTGCCAGTCTTAATGTTGTGAAATATAACATCTACGTTTGCACATGGGTGATTTCAAAATAAAAAAAAGAAAGAATAAAAAAAGAAAAGAAAAACGTATATTGCCCAACGTGCAATATTATCCCTCAAATGCAAATTGACATACGGAACAGAACTCGCGGAATCACTCTCAGAAGCAAAGGGTACCGAATATAAGTTTGCACTTTACAGCAACAGTGGTTGGTTAATTTGCTCTTCGATGAACTGCACAAATCTAACTTGCAGATGACACTAGTCGGAGGGACAAAGACAATCTGATGCAAGAGTTGAATGCGAAGAAATCGCTCAACTTCCACGATAATGTCGTCAAGCTCCTTGGGTACTGCATTGAGAAAGGTAATTATGGTGGTGTTCCTTTTTACACTTTAATTGACAATGCGGAATGTGGGTCATGTACATTATTATGAGTTTGGACCAAGGTTCAAATAAACAAAATTCAAAAACTATAAGAGTGACTATCCTAGATCTTTATAGAAATGTTGGTTGCATGTTAAAAGTTAGCAATAAAAAATCGCACATTTCATTTAAAAATCAAGGACAAAGGTCATATATTTCTCTAATTTTTCTGTGATGTGTAGGAGTGGGATAATTTCGATTTTCATTTTATGAATGAAGATCATTTCAAGAACTTAAAGCTTGAGTCAGTTATGTCTTTGTGAGTGTTTTGCACCAGATCGTAGATTCCAAACAAAGCTGGTCAAGCTAGTCAGTAAAAAAAATCATTAATCCTTTTCTCAAAGTATAAATGACCCTTTGACAAAATCTCAGTTCTGGGGGTTTCTCAAGAAATTGAATGTGTGCCCCAAAATCCGTTTCAATCCGTGACGGTCAGGTCCAACAGCGTGTTGAATTGAAACTGAATTATCGACAAGTCCCTTTTTAACATTATTGGTGGTATACAACATTATTGGTGGTAACTTATATGCGTTTTAGCCCTGTTAGTCATGCCTCCTGCTGCTGAACACTTCAATTAGGAGTCCCAATTTTATTCAGAACCAGTCAGAATTGGAATCAGAATTTTCTGAGATTCTGAGAGGCATTTGGTTCCTGCGCATAAAATGTTAAGTAATTTGTCATTCTATACGTTGTCACTCAGCTTTCGCATTTTACGATACCCTCCATGGCGCTATTGTAGATTAACATACGGTCGTGCCAACATTTTACTCGAAAGCAGTGCTTTAAATGTATTTCCTAAATGGGATATGTCGTAACATGCGTAAGAAGTACTTTTAAGGGAGTTGACTTTCATTCTATAATTTTTTGTTGATGTTAACCATCCTAGTGCAGTTGCAGTATGAAAATCTATCAACCATTTTCAGGCTTATAATAGTACTCGATGGGAAATCTGCTGTCAGGTTTTGCTACAGGCTTACTTACGCTTCTGTGAAATAACCTGCAAACAGAGTATAATAAAGATACAGTATTTTGTTTTGTTTTAAGGTTTTTTAATTACTCGTTGAAATTCTTCAAACAGATCCTGTTTATATCATCATGGAATATATGGCCAATGGGACGCTAAAGGAGCTCCTGACTGACAATTGGAGCCAGTTGGACCAGGTGTATGATAACCTGCGGGGCGCCGCCAACACCTCCCTCACTCCCCGGACTCTGCTGCGCATGGCGAAGGGCGTGGCCGACGGCATGGCTTTCTTGGCCTCACACACAGTGAGAAATAGTACCGATTAACAGTTGTGGTCAAAACGGTACATACCCACTTTGAATGCAGGAACGAAAGCATGGTTCAAGAGTTAATTTGCATTTCTGGCAACGAATCACTTTCACTACCAGATCAATCACAATATGTACTTTGATGTAGTAATGACCTATTTTCAAGTCTGTGTAAAGAAATCGGAAGCTGTGGCAGTTCAGTCTTGAGAGTTTTAATGAAACATTTAAAATCAAAATGTAGACCTGTGTGTAAATTTTCGACGCAGGGAGCGGGAATTTGGTTCTTTTAAAATTGCGTCACTTGTATGAAGACTTTGGAATTTACTTTGGACCTTATTTTTGTTTTCTGGGGCTCCTTTCCTGTAGTGCCTGCACAAAGATCTTGCTGCTCGAAACGTTTTCTTGGGTGAAGGAATGGTCTGCAAGCTGTCCAATTTTGGATTTGCCAACGACGTGGCGACTGTGAGAAAAAATCAACGCCAAAACCAGGTACACTATTCATCAAAGGACAATTTTTCTGGTATAAAGTTTCAGCTTAAAATTGAAAGTACGGTGTACACGATGAATTGAAATCACGCCATGCTTTATTTTTACATGTGTTGGCCTCTCATGCAATAAATTAATTAACAATCGATGTTCAATCGATACCATTTTAGAAAGGGGTGGTTGCAACCACCACGATTGCAGCCTGATCTGGTGTGCATGCAGAACATTTCGGCATCATTTCTACGTCTTGGAAGCGGATGGGGCAATGGCGTTCAATTTACGTGCATTGTACCCTCAATTTTTGCTATGATTTAGAGGGTAAGAAAGTGAATCCTTAAATTTCGTTGAAAGCAGGGTTCACAGTTCAATAGATTTCTCGTATAGGATGCCTTCTTCGTGGGAAAATTACGACTGCGTACTCTGTAAGGTTCGTGTACGCGCAGTGTGGAAATTTTCTTCAAAGGCGCGTGCGGTGATCTAAGTATCGTCGAAATGCGATGCAGCAGATGCAATTCACGAAACTTTTGGCGTCTAAAATCACGATGTAAGCAGTTACCGTTGGGAAAAAACGTCGCTCGAGCGAAAAATGCATTAAAATGACAATGTTAACTTTATTTTTTGAAGTGTAGATTTTTCTTGCGTAGCTTTCCGATTTAGATACCCCCTCCCTCACTTTCTTACCGTTACTGTTTTCACGTATAGGGTCTTGTCCCTCTGCGATGGATGGCGTTGGAGTCGGTCCTTTATGACGTGTACACAACAGAGAGTGACGTGTGGTCTTTTGGGGTTCTTCTCTGGGAAATAGTTACACTTGGTATAAGAATATATTCGTTAAAATCTACACTACTCTCTAAATCCAAAAGAGTGAAACTAAGGACAAGACGATTTAGAGTGAAAATCACTCTCAATTTAGATTGAAATACTGTGACAAAATAATCACTTCAGTTGGAGCTCGAGTGAAAACTCGATCTCTTCGCTTGCAGAAATTTCACTATAAAACGTCCGGTCCCAAGCTTCCGACTGCTGGATTGAAGTTTCACTCGAAGAGATTGAGTTCAAACTCTTTGGGTATTCAGAGAATTATACGGACGACCTGGATGTTAGTCTTTTTCTTGAATTTTATTTCCATTTGCTGTGGTATTTGGAGCCAACCGGCCTACAATGAGACATCTTATAAGGTCTCATACTTTGGCCTGGAAAAAAACCTGTGGGTATAAAAGCGCTCGACCTTTCAACCAATTTGCTGTAGTTGCATAGGAGAATCTGATTAAAAATCATACGTGCGTTTATGAACTCAATGAAAGAAGCATTGGTTTGGAGTCGCTATAATCCTTGTTGATTTTCTACAATTTGGGGGACATTTGCCAAGCTTTCTCTTCCAACTTTGCAAATCGTTTGTAGGCGCCCAACCATACCCAGCCATGAGTGCTAAGAAGGTGGCAAGAAAGGTAAAGTCAGGATACCGGATGCCTCGGCCTGGCCATTGTCACTTGCAGCTGTAAGTTACCAGATCATCACTTACGAAGCATTTTAGAGCATTGGGACCCTCAAAAGTCAACGTGCTACAAGGAATACATTTGGCATATTAATTGCATAAAGATACAACCACACATTTGCTCAATGACATATTCATTGTAATTAAAGCCAACAGTAAAAAGAGATGTTTGAGGTACAAAGGTACCAACTTGTATTTTAAGTATTTTCAAGGCTGTAACAAAGCGCCTTTCTTTTATGATTCCTTCTTGCCCAAACTGGCACAAGATCCCCCCCCTATAATTTGTAGATATATCTTCAACGTCAAGACAGAAATACGTACGTTCTGTGTCAAAATAATGGTTATAAGTCTGTTTTTGTTTTACTTGAGTGTCCTGAAGTGGGATTATTTCTCTAACCTTTCGCCATTTAGTTATCAACTGATGCTGGACTGCTGGGCTAAGAATCCATCAGCTCGACCTAATTTTTCGACAGTCAGTGGAAAACTTGGAGGGCTGCAGGAGAAGGCCTACGTGAGTAGGATGGAAAACAGTAGCCTCACACTCTCCTGAACAGTGGCGTAAATTTGTGCCCGAAATTGGGGAGAGGGAAAAGGTGGAGGTTGACTTACCCGGCCATGAAAACTTGAAAAGGCGGGGCATGGGACACCATCTTACTCTATATAGAGGAAGCTATTCATGCTATTGATTTACATCTGTGATATTCAGAATGGCGAATTAATGGCTTTTAATTGAATTCCCGTTTTTGAATGACATTGAAATCATTTTAATCGTTGGAAGTGAAAGAAATTCTTCACAATCCGTTTCAACTTCTTGCTCACAGCAAAAGATGGGGGGGGTGATTTCAGTAGCCCCCCACCACCTCAAAAAGAGGGGAATATACTCTCACCCCCCGGGAGATTTACGCCCTTACTCAAAGTATTTTGAGGTTGTCGCCTAGCTACCGTTATGCTTACACACCACGTGAACGAGAGGTACCAAACATGTTGTCAATGGCACCAAAAGAAGGGCATTTCTACCATCAATGCTTACTGTAAAAGAAGCTTTCTAAGCACTTTTTGTGCCCATTGTTGGCCAAGGTTTATTGTCGACATGTCAAGATGTCTGTCTGTCAGTCTGTAATTGGGCGGCTGTGGAGCTGTCGCCTACAATTTTCCTCCACATCCTGTGCTGGCTTTACTAGTTCGTCTGGCCCAAGCATTGTACATTTTAATTTTCACGTCATAAAAACTCCTTAGCGAATCAGTTAGCCTCAATGATGTTGCTGGGAATACAGAATTTACTTTAATCTGGTTTAGGGTTTTTATCTAACGTTGGTTTTTGTGTCTCCCTTTTTACTGTAGCAATATATATCGTTGGAAGCCTACCAGAGACACCTCTATAAGGCGCAGGTTGCAGGCTGCTCGGACTGTGAAAAAATCTACTAAGCCCTGATGTGTTTGCAGTTTTCCAATTATTCATCTTTTAAAATCTTGCAATCATGAAATATCTTTTATTATTTTTTGACTCCTGCTTCATGAGAAAATAAAGTCAAAACTGTCGATAAGTCAATGAATGCACTCTAGTAATAACTGCTTTGTTATCAGATAATTTTTATAGCACTTGTTTCGATGCTTAATAAAACGTGATGCATTTTTGTTGTATTTTAACTATTTTTCCATCTTATTCTGACAAAGAGAATCGATCCGTTCAACTCCTATCAGATTATAAGGAAGTAGCTTTGAAGGAAACAGATTCAAGTGCGGAAGTTACATTCTGAGTTTCATATGGCCGTTCAATTGTAAAGGCTTACTTTACTTGGAAAGGTATACTTTGTTTCCTTAAAACGTTATAGGATTTCCCAAAAACTAAAGGGGTGGCCTGTAAATCATAGCCACAGTTCGGCAAGGATTACTCGCAACTTAGCTTACAAAATAAAGCGAGATGATCCACTTTCCTATGCTAACGAATGTGGTGTTGCTGTCCAAGGAAATTCACCCTGTCTTTTGTGTTATGTCTGTGAATTATGACACAATGCTTTAGTTTTATTTTTGCTTTTTATTACTTTTTTAAAGAATATCACGCAGTTATCTTTCGGGACATGAATTAATTAAAATTTGCTTATTTGGCCAAAATAGTTTTATTTGAATTCGGATCGATGAATCCAGATGACAGCAGCGAGCCTCTGACATACATGAAATCAATGCTGTTATATTGTAGGAAGTTTGCTGTTGAGTAAACACGGCCAAGTAGTTTTACGAGTTGCCACATTTGAATGTTGTGATGTTCTCTGCATATATCAATATTTAATCAGAAAAACCGGGTAATCCATCGAGTTTTGTAAAAGATGCATGACTCAGGATCTCTGGGAAAAATAGGGGTGATTATTTTCCCAAGGTAAACTATTGGGAAACTTGAAGGTAAAAATGAATTTTAAATTGGTAAAAATCATGTCTTGTTGATTACATCGTATTTTTACACAGAGGATTAAATCAACCCAGGCTAGAGTTGGCTGTAAAAACAAACTACACACTCGTAATCATCGCGATTTGATGTAACCAAGGGCTTTAATAGATACAACTTACGGTTTGAAATCTTATACGATCTCTTTCAAAATACATTCGAAGTGTATATCAAGTTTGATGCAAATGTTTGTGGGGGGTTGAAGGTTTGTACAGATTACACTGATTTGATATGATATTACCCGAGGCTTAAGTTTAAAAAGAATACAAATCTTATACGCTAACTTTTAAAATATGTTCGAAGCGTATATACAGTCTGATGCAAAGTTAAAAAAGAACTGATCTGTTTTGCACATTATTTACACTTTTATACCTGTAATGTTAAGGTAAAGTCATCGATGGGTCCTTTGACTTAGCAATTGCTGAGGAGACAAAAATCGACAGTTTTAATTATCTTAGGCCCCCTAAAAGGTCGAACTTCTGCCTTGTCTAATTCAATGAATTGTGATCGTCATAAAAGCGGCAGAAGTTCGGCAGTTGCTTCAAACGCCGGTTTCCTGTTGATTTTAATGCAAAATTACAACATGGCAGACCAAGAAAGAATCGTGTTGTGACATATTCTCATTGCGAGAGGAAGAGGCATTCTCTTGCAATAATCAGTACTACTCAATGTTATTGCAGCAAGAAGAGTTCCTCTTCGTATGCTTACTTGTCCTGCTACTCCTCTTTTCCAGGGAAAATGTTACAAGACCCCGGTCTTGTCGATGGTTGATCAAGAAAATAGGTTGGCTAGAATTGATGCTGAATACAAACTCTGAGAAAAGTTTCAAAAGGGCATTTTGTGTTTCAAAAGGAACCTTTGAATTCATCCGTTCACACATAAAACATGAATTGGAGCGGACCACAGTGACAGAAATCCCCATATCCCCAAGGCATAGGAATGTGTCTTTAGAGTCTAGCTAGAGGTGACTCCACATGTACATGTCCGTGGGCCCTGCCATCTTGTTTTAACGCCAAAACGAAAACAGCTGTTTTGGGCGCATGTGCATTTTAAAATGGCCCTGACGATGTAGATTGAACTAGACACGGCAGAAATTCGACGTTTGAAGCCGTACCGCTTTTCAGCCGTTAAAAGCGGTACTACCTGTCGAACTTTCGGCAGAAAGCCGGCAGTTGCTTCAAACGTCGAATTTTTGCCGTGCCTAATTCAAATGTTGGTCATTATGTGAATTAGACACGACAGAAATTCGACGTTTGAAGCTGGCCGTATATGTGCATTGTCGGAAAGCGAATCGGTATGTTTTAATAGCAGAAATATCGTAACACGTATAGAGTTATGCATGCGAGTATACATATCCAGTTTAAAATATTTTGTAGTTTAAGCTTTAGAAACAACCATGTCATTGTTTGTAAGAAAAAGTATTTGAATTCGATCAATACGTTGGGTATTGAACAGTGTTTCAGTTTTTATGTAGTGTCTTCTACAATGATTCAGGAACAAAAGTTCAAATGCTTTATTCATCAAACTTCCACAATGTTCTCCACAACCAGAATTATTTTGCTAAATGTGTTTTGATAAACTGACAAAGGCACATGGTTTAGCGGTTCTACTTAGTCTAAAACAAATCAAGGTAAATTTTGTTAACTGATTAATTTAACGACTAGAGGATATCAACTAATAATTCAACATTCCTTCAGCTGAATGAAATCTACAATAATTGTACAAAAAACGAGGAAGGGATTGGAAGATTATTTCACGGAATAATTGTTGTTTTTTAGAAAGTGCACTAGGCAGCTGCTTGTTATTTCGTTGTGAAATTAGACACCAGAACAATTGCACTATTTTGTAATATTAATCCAACCAGTCCGAGCTTTCGTTTTGTGTTGCACGTTTTGGCTTCCTCGTGCAATACTCAAATTTACAAATTGTTCAAACAGGCAAAGACAAACAAGATATCGTCCGGATGTAACAGCAGAACTCATGCATGGGCCTCTGCCAAACACTTAATTCGAGGTGCTCTGTGTTTTGATTAGTGTCGTATAGTTAATTATTTTCAACCCTCTTAGTCTCCACCATAAAACAAAGGCATTTAATGCATAATGTTCAATCAAGATATTCCGAGTTTCTGTGTATGTTTATGAAAACTGAGTAGAGCATTGTGCAAAATAAGTATTCCTTCGTAGTGTTGACATTTCTAAATATCAGTTGGCAATTGCCAAAGGAACTTGTTAACAGCTTCCTTCCTTAGGAAATTTTGTGATTGGAACACCAGGCTCTCACACTTAACATTTCCAAAGACCATCAAAGGGCAATAGAGATCTAGATGTAAAAAAAACAGAACTAAAAAATAGGAAAATAACGAAAGAAATGATAATAAAGGGACCAAGAGGGTAAAGAACTCGAAATGTTTGACAAAATCTAAAAAATGACTCCCTCCTTCTGTGTGAGAAGTTTATCATGATTTCGCTGATGATCAATTTACGATTTTTAAGAAGTATGTGTAAATCAGTTCATGAAAGATGGAGTTTTGTTTTTTACCATTTTCCATACAGTTTCGTTGTCTCCTCCAACTCTTCTTACTGTTTGATTCTTAATATTTTCATTTATGCAAAAACTTGGGGGTGGGGGTCCTCCGTGGCCATGTCAAAATGTTTCAATCTAACTACGCCACAGCTCCGTGTTCAAAAGACAAAAATACATAAAATACAGCACCGGTGGTAACACTAGTACATGCACATTCGCTGTTGGGCCTAAGAGCTCAGTTGGGGATCCTGCAAGCAGATTTCACATATAGTTATCCAAATACGAGAAATATCAATTTCCCTTACGATTTCCTTCCTTGAGCAATTCTCAACTTTGGCGAGTGCACTCGGTTGATAAGAATGACTCTGGGAGTACCGCAGCGGATGATCCTTCAGTTTTAGGCTGTATCCAGTATTAAGGCAAGGTCTCAGTGTTGGCAGAGCGTTTCCACGTATTTCCAGTGGGATGAAGACCTAGACAAAGCTCTAGACAATGGAATCGGGCGCAGCCTAACTAATGACTTTGCGTTCATTAATATCTCACCGTTCTGGCGCTACAGGGCGTGTCGTCAAGTCACACTATTTCGGCTGGTGTTTTACCTATATCCTGTGCCACAATATGCATGGCAGATTTGGGGTCAGGATGGCGGGAACTGATCGACTGTCCTCCGTGTACCTTGTTAATGCAATCTTTCTTATTTAATAAGGCTAATCTGACAAAGACTGACTAATCCTCACAAAGCTAAAGAAATTAAAAAAAAGGTAGAAGGATCCAACGCCTCAGTGATCACTCACAGCAACAGCACAGTTGGATCGCATCAGTCCTGAAGACAGACAGACAGAGCACTCGCTGTCTGAACGTCGGGTAACCGGTTCTTTTCAGAACCACATCTACTCAAAAGAGATATTTTTCACATGGTGTATCCGCAAACCCTCTATCCTATCGTATTCCACAAACCTTCAAGAGCTACTTGGATGCTTACAATACTTGTTGAATTCAGCTTCAGGCTCTTGACAGCTTAGAACTTGAAAAGTGTTGAAAGTAGCCTGCATAGACGCTGGGAAAGACTTAAATAAGAGCACCCAGGCGGAGGGGAAACAAGCCATGCCCACCCTACCCCCCGTTAAATATTACCATTTCAAAATAATTCAAAAGAGAGAAAGAGAGCAAGTAGAAGGAGCGATGGGCGGCTTCCCCATAAAGTCTGCAATAAGCCCTTAACTTACTCTCACCACTAAAAATGGCCATGAAGGGTTACATTAAAAGTCCACTTTTGCCCCTTCTCCCCTACAAAAACAATTTTGCCCCTACTTTACTAAAACAAGCCCCCCCAAAATAGGATTTGAGATCTGTCCTTAGGCCTAAATAATCTGTCTAGATGTATTGTTCAGAAAAAGTGTTTCGGTCTGCAATGGTTCAAGCTTCTTCTAAACAACAGAGCTCGGCTTACAAACTGCGTCGCCAATCACTTAAAATTTTCTTACACGAGCATGAACTGCAGGTTTTAAGTTTTTCACTCCGTTCTAGCTCATGCCACGAACGCGCGATGAAAAGCTAAAATCAGCACGGCTCCTTTTTGAAGCTGCCAATTATTGACTTTATTCATTCCCTACCAGGTCATGTGTTCTTTCTAAATGCAACCAAGTAATTCGGACACGGCCTTACTATGATAAGAAAGGAAGCTTCCCCAAATTGGGTCACGTGTCCGAATGGTCGGGTATTTCCTGCAAAGTGCAAATATTACTCTTCGAGAAAACGTTGATATAAAAGCCATCTCGAGGATCTGCGGAACAGTTTACAGCCTACCCTACCCAATAACGGGATGGAAGTGCCAAATCCACTGCGCTGCATCGTGCTCTTAATACCGCTGTGGTGGATCCAGGGTAAGGTAGTTTTGATACTTCAGAGTCATTTCACGTAAGTATGAAAGGACTTGGGTGTGTACCTTCCTTCTGGTATTATTGATTCAAACCCCTCAAAAGCAATTTTCTCTTACGTTAAAAATGACCATATTTGAGGCAATACTGTCACAAATGGATACAAATTGCCCAAGATTTTTTTCACCACATATGAGAAGATCAATGTTGGCCCTAGTCACAGCCAAAGGAAAATATCCCAAGACCCGCAGCAAATTGATGTTTTGAGGGGCCAAAATAAGGTGGAGATGTAAATTTTAAAAGTTCTAAAATCACACTTCAACGCAAGCTGTTAAAAGAGCGAAAGGGTGACACTTGAAGCTTTGTCTCAAGCACGGGCAAGGATGATACTTTAAGGTTATGTAAGTGGATAAGGGAAATATTTTTGCATTTTGGCTACGTGGGCTGTAAAAGCTAAACCCCAGTTTTTCAGAGCCCTAAGTCGACCTAAAATGCCAAAACACACAATGAGCTGTTTCTATGCCAACGAGCTGCGTATAGATTCGAAACGTCTGTTTTGTTTACTTGCACCCCAAGTCCTTTCATCCTACGAAGTATGAAAAATTTAATTTTTTGACCGTGGACACATAACTCTATATTTTTAACCATAATGGGACCAACACTCATGCCAAAAGACTACCAGAGCTGTTCCCGACAGAGAAACTTGCTAATAAGGAAGGGAAAAACGCGTTAGGAGACAACGGATGTGGGTTTCCCGCGACTACTGCAGTCTGTGTTCTTTGGTTTTTCTTGTGTGCGTTTGTCAAATTTATGATGATTGTACACAGATTTACCCAAACTCTCTACTGTTACCTGAGAAGGTCAGATGTAAAACAAAACGTTGGGTGGTGAAACAGTTGGGTGTTTTTGTTCTCTTTGGTGTGTTTTGCTTTATGAGTAAATACTTATGAGGGTAAGGTCTAATACATTTTGAGGCTTTCGTTCACGCCTGTCGAGAGAAGGGGAGAAGAACCAAATCCCCAAATCGCCTTTTTGTCAATATTTCAATAGAACGTTCCCTTTAGAGGCTCATTACCCACTTCCAGCCCCAGCCAGGGGCCCGTTTTTGTTAGCAGTCGGCAGTATCGATATCAATACGTAAAAATATAACAACTAATCCCTTCAAGCTCATAGGTAGCACTAATCAGTGAAATAAGATTTAATAAAAAGTCTTGTTGACAGCCAAAACGCAGATAGCAAAGCCGTTACAAAGCTTACTGTTGTTTGTTGAATACCAGCTTATGCGAATCACACACAGTTACACTGCTGGTGCACCCAACGTGTGCCTGGCTTGCTGTGCTATGGCAGCGATCGCGAGAAACCACCGAACGATTTGAAATCATGCGTCACCTTAGGCAGCTTTGCTCCCCAGGCCTGTATTTGATTTACCGAGAAGTACACGCGGTATACACAAGGCCAGCCTACTGCAAAATTGTTGCTACAGATGGGATTTCCCAGGCACTAGCTCCATTTCCTGGTGTGTGTGTGAAATGTTCGCTCAAAGCCGGACATCAATTGCTTCCCACACTGAAAGTAGTAAAAATAAAACATCAACTCTATTCGTTTACCATCTAGTTCAATCACTCGTTTTACATCGAAGTCGGCAGAGTTTACTCTTACTTGTTTATTTTTATGAACCCAAGTTGGTTAAAGCATCTTTGCACTCGTCACCATTTTTGCGGAAAGATTAAAATTGTGATATGAAAGAAAAGGGAAAAGTCATTGTAGAAAGATTTTGAAAACAACTTTTGTAAGCCAAAGTTTGATGTGACCTCGTTGACATTTCAAAGCGTCAACTTGATGAGCAACATCCACAATTAAAGGTGTGGTCTAACTTTCTGCTGTAGTGCAATCGGTCAAACGGGGAAAGTCCATTATGCCTGCAAGGCTGCTAAGGTAGCATTAAAAAAACCCAAACCCAAAACTATATGAAGAGCTTTATTATGAGAGACTTGCAACATGGGTGTCTTAACAGGAATCAGGATCTTGCATTAAGTATTAGTGCGCATGCGCAGTTAGCAGGCAATGGTTGCATGCTCTATTGCGTACTGAACAGACATTGTATTTGCAAGGTGTGACGTTGGAGTTCCCTCTCATAATACTGCTCTGGTGATGAGTAGACAGTTTTATTGGGTACTAACTGTCCACAGGTGCACAGGCACTACAACCTCTCAGTTCGTTTACAGCACTCATGTCTCAACTCTCTCTAACGTTCTGCACTGGTCTGGTTCGACGCAGAGTCAGCTGGAACCTACATTCCGCCCGGTGGTCAGACCCAAATAGCTTCTCCGAGCTATCCGGGGTACTGGAACAACGCCCGCGCAAGCTGGACGGTCTCCACATCCAGCAACTGGGGGATACGAATCAGCTTCTCCGTTTTTCAAACCGAGTCGTGCTGCGATCATCTTCGGATAGTCGACTCGGCCAGCGGCCGCGAATGGAGCTTCAGTGGGTCATCTCTTCCGGGTGACGTCTTATCCACCGGAAGCTCTATGCAGCTGAACTTCAGGTCTGATGGAAGCGTGACATACACGGGGTTTATCTTGTACGCTTACAGCATTCCAATGCCTGGTACGTGAACATGATTTCGCTTGCTATCCACGATGCATAGAAGGGCAAAGCTTGACATTGTTTTTCATTGGACGGTGATACCCTGCACGATATGGGGCCAAGGGGTACCCCCACATGCCCAATCCCCAAACATACTCTAGACTATTGTTACCTAACACACCCCCTAGATATCTGTAAAGAATTCCTGAGATTCCGACCAATGACCAACACAAAGGCGGGGGCCACAAATCTTGCTTCATATGTGGAAAGTTCATCTGACCCTTGCCACATGCGCGTGATGTGACAGGTAAGCACTACAAATGTTTGTGCTGATTAAGGCAGCAAATAACCCGTGATGCTTGACGTGTCCATAGCTGTCATCTTTCCCATGACAATACTTTGTGAAGCAGGTTTTCTCGTACTGGTGCCCTCTGTTGGCGCTGGGTGAAGAGCAAATAGTTTTTCTGTTCCACAGGATTAGCTACAGCAGGTTGCATGAGAGATATTACCCTTTTACTTTCAACGAAATTAAAAGTAAACATTCAACCCCACACTTCCTCCATTAAATTCGAATGGGCAGGGTGGCTGGTTGTATAGTTCGTGTGGTTGATGTTCTTTACTGTTATGTTATTTTCTTGCTCTGTTGTTGACTTGAGTTTTTGTCAATAAAATTATTGTTCAGCTGCTCCGACGACTTCGTCTCTCTCCCTTCGCGATGCAACCGGCGCTCGGCTGAATGGCACCGTCAGATTGCTCAAGGGGGCCCCCTTCACTTTCACGTGCGAAGTCCAGGATACCAGCCCGGCCGTGACCATCCGCTGGTACCTTGACGGCAGCCTGCGGGACACCGCAGCTGCACCCAGTGGAGGGGAGTACAGCCAGGTGGATACCAGCGACAGCTGGACGCTCACCCCCGGCCGTGACGACCACTACCGGGAGGTGAAGTGCGAAGCGAGCAATACAGAGTCTCAGCAGCCTTACCCGTTTGTGAAGGTCACGCTCAATGTCATTGGTATGTCACCTGAACCAAGAGACCTTCCCACCAATAAATCAAAAAAGGTCTACTCATACGCATAGTGGTCTTACCGGCCCAACACGTGAGCGTGCCATTTGTTTTTTGTTTTGACTGCATTGACTGACTGACCGAAAAACCCACCGAACAACTGACCGAATGATTTTTTTTACCACAACAGCGTAGTGAGAGAAAAACTTTTTGATTCCTCATTTCGTGCATCATAAAACCCTCATAAACTGAAGAATTTTAGCTATGGTGATATGACAGTGTTTGCTGGAAAGAAAAGTGAAAAAAACCTCTGAGAATCTTTGAGGAAATGACCACAAATTTTAATCTCTCGTGCATTTACAACGTGTCTCTTTTGCTTTTTGAAAGCATGGCCATTCATTCGGATGCGTGCATAATTTGGAATGAATAAGCGAAAAGTCCATTCGCCCCCCACCATTAAGGCAACGGGTAAGAGTGTAATTTTTGGCAAGCACTGATTGGACAGAGTTCATTCGAATAATAACAAAAATAACCTATAGAAGGAACACTTTAGTCGACGGTCAAATAAATTTGAGAGGCATTTGGCACGGTTGGGAATAAGACAGTATCCTTCTTTTCGTTATTACACCAGTACTCCCTAGCATGATCGACCTGTACGGTTCAAATGGAAATTTCACCCAAAACGGCACATCCTACCTTGTCGCTGGTGCGGACTACAACTTCAGTTGCGTTGTTCCCAGCATTCGCCCGGGCGCTGAGTTCAACTGGACGCTTGGTAGCCAGGAGATCACATCACACATCAGCAACGATTCGGTGGCAGCTGATGGTTTGACGACGAGCACCAGCGTGGTCACCGTGACTGCTACTTGGACCAAACATGGGCAGATCTTGGAGTGCTCGGCTTCCAACTACGATGACTTCATTGGCGTCAGCGCTGGCTTAACCCTGGATGTAAAAGGTGAGGATATCCAGTAATGTCCCCCGTTATCAACGATCAACTGTGAATTTGACCTCAAAGAGTGTGGTAGTAATTTAGCACTATCTGCGACAAGACTGTGTGAGTCAACGCCTATTTATGAGAGATGTTTAGGAACACGTTCATGCAAAATCTCGTACAAATTATACAACCTACGCTTTCAAAAGAAGGACTTGTAACGAAGACTGCATTCTTTTACCTTCATCTTTTGGCAGGAAAGCATTTCCCTGAAGTTGTTTCAGTTAAGATATAATCAAATAGAAGTTCTACGAAGTATTTGTACTGATCCTGATTTATATTAAACGTCTAATCCGATGTCTTCGTTGATGCCAGCAACAGAGAAAACCGCTTACAATGACCAAGAACAGATAAACGGCTCGTGAAAGGATTCTAGTTATGAAATACAATTGACAATCGGGACTTCAAGATCTTACCAGTTTTTACCTCATGAAAGACACTGAAGGACGCTTATCTCCTCAAGGGTACAAGATTATGCGGTTGATTGAAAGTTAGGGTAAAATGAAAATACTTTATAATGATGACATTTATATGCAGTTCCACCAACAAGATCGTCCATGTCAATTTACGATGCCAAAGGCACCAGACTTGGTCAAACAGTTGACGTTGACCAAGGCGCATCATACAACTTCACCTGTGTGGTGCAAGGAACCAGGCCCGCTGCAACCATCGAGTGGTTCCTCGATGACGTTTTGCACCTGACGGCCAGTCCGCCCTCCGGGATCGGCGATGGTTTGGTGGAGACCACAGACACCCTTGCTTTCACGCCCAACCGATCAATGCACGGTCAACGGGTGATGTGCAAGGCAAGTACGCCCGAGTCGCAGGACCCTTTTCCGTCTGTGGTCACGGAACTGAATGTCAACGGTAAGTATCAACGTAATCAGCCTTTCTGGACAGTGTGCTTTCGACCGTGGCCAGTATGGTATCAGCTGTGATCATCTGTACAAATATGTGAGGTCATATTTACTTGAACATAACCTTTAGAATTGAGAGTGTTAAACGAACTCTGGTCAAGACTGCAATATGTTGTTGCATCGACAAGTGTGAGTTAGGTCTCAACGAAACAAAGAAAATTGGCTCAATAAGAAAAGCCCACCAATCTCTCTTTGACTAAACAAGATTGAATTTCTGGAAAGCATCTTCTTTTTTGTTAGTTATGTTCATGTATTTCCAAAGTTTTCCCTTCTGCTAAATGTCCATGTGCGGGATGTAATGCTCCTGAAAACCTACCTCCACCATTCCAGTTGGCGCCAGCCAAACCAAATCGGGATTATCAACTCTCCTTGTGAACTTGTTTGGGAACGTAAAGTTGTAGGTAGCATGGCACCAATCCGATCAAGTGAATAAAGGTACAGCATCGATAACCGGCTTTATTTGTCAGGGATGTAGTTGAAGTCCAATCAGCACACATACCAGATGTATGGCAGGCCTTTAAAGGATGGCTTTTCTCTGACTTATTAAAGTTCTACCTGCAGAGATATCCCTGTACGCACTGTCCGAGAACCTATCCTTCACCAGAAACGACACTTTGTACGTTATCGCGGGAGTAGAAGGCGAGTTTACTTGCGAGGTACCTAACATCGATCCCGGGGCATCGTTTACTTGGTACCTGGGGAGTCAGACCTTTGCGCCAAATGTGAGCACGGATGCCTTGGGCCCTGATGGACTCCTAACCAGTACGAGTAAGTTCACACTTTCCCCTACATGGAGCAACCAAGAAGAATTTCTTCGATGTCATGCTTCCAACAAGGTTGGATATCCTGGGCTTAGTGTCAGCGTAATGCTTGATGTCAAAGGTGAGTTATAATAGAAATATGCAGTGCAGTAAATAGGCCACGTCGAAATTGTTGTAGGTTGCAGGGAACAAAACTGAAAGAGACACTTGACTGATTCTGTTGATATTCTTTCACCCGTTTTACCCCGAATTCATAGTGCCTCCGCGGGAATCTTCCTTGTCACTAGTTGATTCGGATGGACTCCGACTAGGAAGTGTAGTAGATGTTGTAGAGGGCAATCCTAAAACCTTGACTTGCATGGTTCAGGGTACCCGACCGGCTGCAAGTGTCCAGTGGTTCCTAGCGGATGTTCTGCAGAGCGTCGTCCACCCGTCCGTGGACCAAGTCGAAGGGCTTTTCAATGTTACAAGCAACTGGACCATTACCCCTAACAAAGTTCATCACCAACAGATTGTGACGTGTTCGGCAAGAACAGCAGAGTCGCAGGAACCATTCCCCTCGGTGTCGGTCTCCCTCAATGTCAGTGGTAAGAGCCTTTATTTGTAACAAAGTCAACATCAAGCGTACCTGGCAATTTAGGTTTATATCTATATTTATTAAATGTTTCATGACTCAAATACTTTGGTCCAGAAAAAATATGTTCTATTGTCTCTTGGACTGTGAACTGTCTGATATATTTAAGTGTATTGCAGCTGTTGACATATCTTTTGTTAAAGGACCCGTTACAATGCTCCATTGTTATGTGCAAATAGGTACGCTTAAGCCATATGTCTGCACTGTGACGGCTAACGCCGAGGATGCATACAGTTAATGTAGACTTAAACATTTGATTCTGTGTGTATTTCGAGTAAGAGAATTCAATTACAGATCGGTGAACTAGAACATGGCTGATAGATGGTTTGCGGTTGAACCATGTGGAACCAATCTCTTCAAGCGGGGTGGATCTGGGTAAACCGTGAAATGTGAGCTCGATGTTTCGACCGAGATACTCTAGTCGTCCTCAGTAGAGAACGTTAACCCTGTGACTTGGATTTCCTATCACTTCATTTTCCACTCCTAGTATTTCCAACCGAGGTTATCCTACTAGATTCAACTGGTAACTTCACCTCTAATGATACCGTTTATTTGGTCGATGGAGTGGATTATCCGTTCATCTGCGCGGTACCTGACATCAACCCAGGAGCGTGGTTCACGTGGACACTGGGTAACCAGAGGCTATCGTCTAGTAGCAATGACACCACAGGCACCAGTGGTTTGCTCACCAGTACAAGTCAGGTCTTTATTACGCCCTCATGGGACAACCAAGGGATGATCTTACAATGTCGAGCCACCAACAGAGAAAGCTATGTAGGTATCAGCATGGACATATGGCTGGATATCAAGGGTAAGAAAACTTTCCTTATTTGACTGGATTGGTCTTGGGAATCAGAATGTGCACCCTTTTTCAAATTTTCTTTCTTCAACAGTCCCACCAGATTCTTCGTCGATACTGCTATACAACGAAAGTAGAACACCTATAGGGACTACACTTATTGTTGACCAGGGATCAGCTTACAACATCCGATGCGAAGTGCAGGGAACCAGACCAGCTGCAATCATCCAATGGTTCTTGAACGGCACTCTACAGCGAACAGCCTACCCGCGTTTCAAAGGGGACGACGGACTGGTCAACACCTCTGACACGTGGTGGTTCAGGCCCACGAGAGCCAATCACCGCCACGAGGTGAAGTGCGTGGCAAGCACACCCGAGTCTAAAGAACCTTTGCCCTCAAAGGCACTGACACTAGAGGTCAATGGTGCGTATGTTGTAATAGTCACATTTATCACATCAAATTAACTGAATTTTCTAAAGATTTGTGCATAAAATTGCCGCAAAGAAGTTTACTTTAACAGGTTAGTGTGGTTCCCCGCACTTACAACAATCGCACAGCATTTGTTTCATTTCAGTGTTGGGTAGGATTGTGGTGTACATCTCCTGAGCAGTACGGTTTAAATTAATTTTCCAGTGATATTTCCGTGTCAAATAACAAAGGTCAGGTGTTACAGGGATACAATAATGTCACACATTTGGACACGGATGTATATAATTATCCAGTTACCGAAATGTCTCAGCACAAACCGTCCACTCATTGTCTTGTAATTTGCCTATTACCATGGCGATTTGAAACCAAAAACATTTTAAAACAATCAGGGAATTTTATCTTACCGACGAGGGCAATGTACAAAGTGCACAACAGGGAGAAGTTTATTTGTAATGTGTGGAGTTGTCACGTGTAACAATTCAGTCTGGCTCCCGTACAAAACAAAGCATTGTAACAATCCTCTAATTGTGGAGTCAAACTCGTCTGCTGCACAAGAGGTTGTCCATGCACTCAAATAAAAACTCGGACACAAACGTCGAGGGAAACTGATAGTTTCCCTTACCAGGAAGAGGTCTAATTATTTCAAACCTAAAATATTTGTTCAACGGTCACTTGTCAAACTTTACACTTTTCTCCCAGGCTTCTGGCTTTGTGGACTTTGGTCCATTGATAGTTCAGTGTCAGGACCACGATTTTTAACAGGCTGGGTTTGAAGCCCTGTTCTTTATTTACAATTAAGAATCAGTTTGACGTACAACAAGAGTTTCCTCCATGTTGCTTTTCAGGTCCACCAGATACCCCCGTGATCATGGGTGATACGACAATGACCGAAGCTGTAGCAAGCACGCTGACGTGTTTTGCCGACCAAGGGTTTCCCGACAAATGGACCCTGCACTGGTCCTACGGCGATCTAAACGACATTGCCAATCTCACGACTACGCCGTCAGGCTCAGGAAGTCGCTTCCTGTTCAACAGCTCTTTCACTGTCACCCCGACGAGAGAAGACAACGGAAAGACCGTCACCTGCTCAGCACGGGAGGACTCGTGGGTTGTTCGTCCAACCACAACATTCGGACCACTTAATGTCAAGTGTAGGTATCCGCCCCGAGCAGAAATGGAGTTCCTACCAACGGAGCCTTAGGTCCTAGGAAAACTGCGCCCTCTCTGTTGGTGTGTTGATTCACATGCTGGTTCTTGTCTTAATGTGTTTTAAAGACATGTTTGTGTGCGTGACCTATTCGCTTGTGCACTCTTTATCCTTGACTTGGACATTTTGGGTGGAACGCATCACAGGAAAATTGATCATTTTCATCTTTCACTCGATGTATGTTGTGTTTATATGTAGCCCATGACTTGCATGGAGTACCAAAGTGAATACGTCTCAGGCACAGGTATATGTGTAAAAGGCATAAGTACAGGAACCAGTGATTGCACCAGCACGCACGCGCGCTATTTGAGCTAACACTTTACTTCCTGGATCAAAGTGACGCCAGAGAATAATATATTTTACAGTTGGGGGAAATTTTGTGAATGTTTTATTCATCAGTTTGTCCGAGACAGGTGAGCATCACCAACTGTCCGATTAAGGCCATACCGGGCACCATCCAATCCTTCAACTGCGTGTCTGAGAGCAGCAACCCGCTGACCAATCTGACGTGGTTTAGGGACGGAGTGCCTCTGACCAACCCGGCCCCACCTGTGCTCAGCGACGGAGAGCACCTGGGTCATGTCACCGTGGAGGACTTCGCAACCGGTGTGCTGATCAAGGAGGACAATGGAGCTCTGTTCACGTGCTGCGCTGGTCAGACGACTAGCTGCACTGCGGAGGTGTGCGACAGCTGTACATTGAATGTTGAATGTAAGCCCAATTCATTGGCCTAATAAAATGTCCGATTTCAGTATCTCCCTGCACCATTTACCTAGAACTACCAAAGGAAGTGAATCGCACGTTGTAAGGATAGTTAGCCTGGCTCAAACTTGTCATATTGTTAACATTGTCTTAAAACTATTACTGTTTTAATCGTTGAGAAGCCTTGAAAGTAACTGTGAAATAGCAGCTGAGCAAGTTACTCAGTTCAAACGAGTTTCGGACTGGCTACCTTTCATTCAAATGCATAACTGACTCGCTTTGTGAAAATGAATCACAAGTCACAGGAGCCACTTTTGAGTTTTATTTTGCATTAGACTGAGGTGTCACTCTGTTGGAAGGATGAAAATGGACGTTGTTTAGATTTCCAAACGTTGAGGAGTCTCAAACACTGTGCAAGGTTCTTCCCAAGGCCTTCAACTAAAAAGTGGTTCCAGCAACAACATGTCACTCATTTTCAAAGAGTGGGTTGCAATGTGCTATTACTCAAAATTTAATCTTTCCTCCCAAACTGATGTTCCCTGTAGGAAAAAACTTCGTAATTTTCCAAAGTGATAACAGATTTTTGGCATCATTATACACAGTTATTTTTGGTTAATTTCTCCCTCAGATCGACCATTTTTCTCCGACCCTACCACGAGCACACCCAGCCCGGTCAGAGAGGGTGATGACGTCGTCCTTTCTTGCAGTGCAGACGCTAATCCTCTGCCCCCTGGCTTCATCACTTGGCAGAAGGTCGGGTCTCCCACCTCCTTATCCTCTGTCTACAGTGCTGCTACAAGCATCCTGACACTACGCAGTGTCAGCAGGGAGCAGGCTGGGCCGTACAGGTGCCGTGGGGACAACGGTGTGCCGCCCGTGGTGTTTTCAAATGCAATCAACGTATCAGTCTATTGTAAATAATTTCCTTTAAAACATGCTTTAACAAAATCTTTCCAAGCTCGACCCAAACTGACCGTTTTCTGCAGTTCTAATTGAAATTGTTGGGTCTTTTTTTTTCGTTGTGTTTTATGATGCCATATGGAAATGTAATGCATGTTTTCAGTTGCATCATGTGAGCCTTCTAAGAAATGACATTTAAAGAAATTTAAATGGTCTCTTTTTGTATGATTCCAATTTGTATGAGTAGGATTTAATTGATTTTGGCAGTTTATTAAACTACCATGAACTGAAATCATTACGAGCACTCTTTGTTTTATACAGATGGAGTAAACATTACAAATAAGGCTGATAACTATGTTGGAGCTGCGGCCAGGGAGGTCGCTGTTTTGGTTTGCCAAGCGGAGGGCAACCCACTACCCTTAACTGCCTGGCTGGGCCCGACAAACGAGGAGATCACCAACCAGACGGAGCCAGGCAGACTGTTCCGGGAGAATACCATCACTGGAGGAGATGACGTGTACGGGTATGACGTTACCAGCATCTTGGAGATTCACCTAGTGACGGAAAGAGACTACGGGCTTTACTCCTGCTACGGTGGTAATGGCGTAGGACGCGTGGATGTGCTGCACGTTCTTCTAAGTAACAAAGGTACGGTTTGGGAGTGTCTGGCATTGACAGGAACACATGCGCGACACCTAAATATTGGGGCTGTACTTGAATTTAGTGTTGAAGATTTTCAGCTCATTAGACCAGTATGGCGACCAGCCGTAGGCCTATAACTACACCTACGCCCAGATGAAACGCGCACCTTCAACGAATAAGATATCGAAAAGTGCACACGTGCATTAAGTTTGATGATACGCGTTGGTATGGTACTCCTGCAGTGAAGGCTCCCCAGCCTAGTCTGTCTGGTTTGTAAATATGGCGTCACCAGTTTAAACCACGTCCACTGACCATAGAAGTACATGGAACCATGGGAAAGGAATTTTTGTGTTCATCCAAGGGAGCTTGCAGTCGCTTGGTTGTGTGCTTGCATGATGGGGTCACTTGGGAATCAACTTCAGGTCGCTCCAAAGAGCCATATTGGTCGGACGTTTTCCGTTTTGTTGGTCGCGGTAAGACCGGAACGCGTGCATTTCATGGATGTTCGTGAACCAGCAAAGTGCAGTTCCTATCAATGGAGTCTCTGTTGCTAAGAGAAATGTGCACTCTCTTGGTCCAGCTCGAGGCTCATTATAAGGTCTCCAGCGTTATTCTCCATCTTTCAGAAATGCAAACAAAATCCCCAACAAGCTTTTATAACGCAGGAAGTTCGCATTTGCAACATGCTCTCAAAGGAATGACAAATTTTCTTTACGCAGCATTTGTTTTATTCAAAGGTGAACCGTCACCACCCCTCAGCTTGGCTGTGGATGAGGATCGCAGCACCGCTAATTCGGTAACAATAACATGGAGCCCTGGGTACGACGGCGGGTCGGCTCAGTGGTTTCGCGTCATCTGCCGGGATCTTGAGTCCGATGATCTGTTCGACCCAGGCAGGCGAAGCGACAGAATCCAAGGTTCCTATGAGTACACCCTGGTGGGCTTGCTTCCCTATGTTGTGTACGAGGTTCAGGTGTACGCTGAGAATCCCTACGGTGCTAGTGAAGCCGTGAAGAAGATTGTCCGGACGTTGCGTAAGTATAATTTGATGATTGGGCCCTGTCAGCCCTAAAATCGGTCTGAAAAGTGCATCTTCAATGGTTACGGCTATGTCCTGTAATGAAACCACCAGAAAAACAGAAATCGTGCTAAAAGGTTTCCATTGGCAAAGGTTACGCCCAATATGAACATTTTCTTCACAGCAACGCCCAATTCCATATCCCTTTTAAAGCCCAGAATATTGTGAGCTAGACAAACCTCCATTATGTAAATTACTGGCAGTAATTTGCAATATCCTAGGGCTACAAAGCAAGAGAACGTATAGCGTTTTTATCTTGAAGTTATCTGGTTACCATTCATCTTTACACAAATAAGGTAAACTGGTTGTTAGAGTTACAGTCGTACTGTCCGCAAAGTAGCTATGTCAATGTGAAAGTCACAGATGAAAGGCATATTCATTTAAAAATTGCTATGGGACTAACTTGAAAAGCTCCTGTGAAAAAGTCCAGCAAATAGTCGGGATGCACACCCGCACGTGATTGCTGTACTTGGTCTGTTGGTTGAAACAGGGGTTGCAATCGTCTAAATAAGAAAATTTAGCTGAATGTAAGCGCCATTAAAAATGACTTTGCAATTTCGATTTCACACCGAGATCCTATATTTTTGTTCTTGGAATGTACAGCACCCAATGATCTATAAAAGGTAAAGCTGTAAAAACTTTCTTTACAGGTTTTGAGCTCTTTTGCTCCCTCACACGAACGTAATGCAAAATGGCACATTGTGGACTAGACCATTATGTATAGCAACCAATTAACCCACTTGCGTGACAAACCCAGCTCTTACAAAGTTTTCCACATTGTTTTGTAGTTTGAAATCAATCAGTTGATTTTGAACTAGCGATATACACTTTGAAGCCTTATACTCAGCCTTCATTATCCCTAATCTGTCCTGCTGTTTGTTACTCAGGCGTTTCACAATAGCGCGCCTCCGGTGCAAACTCTTGGATTCGCAGTATTGTGAATCGCCCGTATTCCATCATCTCCAGGAGCTCTCTGATGCCAGTGTTACGGATCTTTTGCTCATAAGAAAATGTTGAATGAAATATGTTGTATAATACTTCATAATTTACAGACAGCCCCGAGTTTTCTGAGCCCATGTTCATCACGATGAATCCCGTGGCGGAGGGTGATGACATCATCCTTTCCTGCAGCGCAGACGCCAATCCCAGGCCTCCAGGCTTCATCACGTGGGAGAGGATCGGATCCCCTGACCCTTTACCCTCTGTCTATAGCGATGGTACAAGCACGATGACACTTCGCAACATCAGGAGAGAGCAGGCTGGTCCGTACAGGTGCCGAGGGAACAATGGGGTACCCCCGGTTGTCTACTCAAGCTCTGTTGTGGTCATTGTACACTGTAAGTCAGCCATCTTACAGACAAGTTCCCTTTTTAATACTAAGCATACGATTTGATGCTAACAGAGGCTCCGTATTCTTAATGAAAACCGTAAGCAGTAAGCAGAGCAAAAGGTACGCTTACTTTGGAAGAGCTTAACGTAGCCACAAAACAATTTCTATACGGTAGATGGGGTCATCACCACATGCTTGGCCAATGGCTACGTCGAAGCCAATGACGGTGAAAACGCTGCTCTGACCTGCACAGCCACCGGCAACCCTTACCCATTGGTTACTTGGTTGGATCCAACCCGCACCAAGATAACCAATGAGACCGAACCACAGAGAATATTTCAGGTAGAAACCATTACAGGCGGTGATGTCGTCCACGGTTTCACGATAACCAGCATCTTGAGCATAAGAAACGTGACTGGTGCTGTCGACTACGGCCTTTACGTCTGCAGTTGTGGAAATGGTGTTGGTATGGTGGACGCAATGACCATTTTGTTGACACCTAGAGGTAAGGTTATCTTTGAACACCTAAATGACAGTTTTTTTTCAGATGTGTTATTCTGGTTATGTTCGAAGTAATTTCATATGTTGTCATTTTTCTGTCCATTAGTTCTGCCATCGGCACCAACAAACGTGACAATTTTCGAGGAGGAAAACACGGCATCATCTATCACGGTATCGTGGAATTCTGGAAACGAGGTTGGAAACAACCTCTGGTTCCACGTCAATTATCGCCTGCTTGAAACGACAGACGATTTCGATCCCAGCAATCGTACCGACAGACTCTTTGATGTCACTTCGTTCACGATGGAGGGTCTACAGCCTTACTCTCTCTACGAAGTTGAAGTGTACGCAGAAAGTGTCAATGGGCGAAGTGAAGCCGTTACAGTGATTGGCACCACTGCAAGTAAGAGTTTTGTTTTGTAACGAATTCATTTCTATTTTTATTTCTGTGAGGAAACTCTAAGATTGTGAAAGGTTGTACTAACATAAACAGTTTGAGCAACCAATTTGAAATGCCTTCTGTGTCATATCAAATTTGAATATTTATGGAGTTATTAGTTGCTTATTGAATATTGTATACGTCTAGGAATTAAGCAAATGGTGTTAACGTAGACTTCACAAAAGATTGGCTTTCTGTAAAACAGTTATCTGGGAAACGACATGGTATTTTTAGACAAATTGTATGCTTTTGGTAGTGTGTACCCGAATGGTCAGCATAAAAGGCTGCCCACACAGAGTAGTATCTAGCGCCATCGTCTCCCTGAGATGTGTTGCCGAGAGTACAAGCCCGGCGACCAATCTGACTTGGCTGAGAGACAACGTACCTCAAAGTACTCTAATTCAGCCAGTGGTAACCGACGGCGATTACGGTGGCCGAGTGACAGCGCAGGACATCACAACTGGTGCATTGACGAAGGCGGACCATGGAACTGAGTTCAAGTGTTGTGCCGTTAGACCGTCAGTCTGTGCCGTTGACGCATGCGACAAGTGTTCCTTGAATGTTGAGTGTACGTTCAGTTTGTTTGAGTTAAGGTCATTTTGCTTTTGAAATCTTATTAATTGCCAAGTTATTACCTGACAATTCAACTCAGAATTTTGAAATCCCTTTTGTGGAAACAAAATTATAAGTGAAACCCTTACGTCATTTTCTTTGGAACTAACTCTGCTACTGAAGTTCGTCCTGCCTTTTACGAGACCTTGGTCCTCACTGGCGATCCTGTCGAGGAGGGTGATGACGTCATCCTCTCCTGCAGCGCAGACGCCAATCCCATGCCACAGGATTTCATCACGTGGGAGAAGGTTGGGTCTCCTGACTCCCTGCCTTCCGTCTACCGGGATGGTGCAAGCTTCCTGACACTGAGCAGCATCAGCAGGGACCAGGCTGGGTCCTATAGGTGCCAAGGAAACAACGGCATCCCACCTATTGTCTACTCAAGCTCTGTTGACGTCATCGTACAGTGTAAGTTCTATACGTTATCCAGACGGTGTACAATATTTCTGAGTGTAGGAAATAATTAACATTCCTGAAATAAGCTTCGAAGCTAGTGATTTACCCAACACTACTAAATGTGTCTAAATTACTGCAGAGTGATGCAGTATCAAATCAGAGTTCTTGTGAAGCACTTTTTGACTAACAGGTTATGTGCAGATATTTAACTAGTTAGGAAGGAACAAAGCTGAAGTACATTGGCATTTGATGATTACAAAGTAAAATGATGATTTCAGACCAGCAATGTTAATAACAAATTTAGTTTTTAAAACGTATATTTTACAACACTGGGAGTGTCTGAAGTCTTACATTTATTTTATCATAGCTTTGTGCGTTTACCATCAAATGCCTATGTCTCCAAGCTGTATTCCCTCTCAAAAATGCAGTTCAGTATTTGGCATAGAACCATGGTATACCCGAAAAGTACTCGACTACGTAACTGCAGTGAATCTTGATACTTATCTTTGATACAAATATGTTCAATCGTCATTTCAGTTGGCTAGTTAATATTTTTCTCCCTCAATAGTTGGAGTTACTATAATAAGCCAGGACGACGTTTATGTCGAAGCCAACGTCGGGGAGAGTGCTGTTCTGATTTGCTCAGCGAAAAGCAACCCCAAACCGATAATGACTTGGTTGAGTCCGGCGGGCACCAGGATAACGAATCAGACTGATGCTGGGAGGATTGTCCTGGTCGACACCATTCCTAGCAGGGGAGGTCTGGATGGATACGTAGTAACGAGTGCCCTGCAGATCAACAATGTGACTGGGCCTGAAGACTATGGTTTCTACGTGTGCGGAAGTGGAAACGGCATCGGACTGGTCGACACTTTGAACATCATGTTAAATAACAGAGGTAAATAAAAACATAAACATAAACAAGCAAGTCGTTGCAGGTTCAGTGCCGTTGTTTGTTTGTATGTATGTTTGTTTGTTTTGACATGTAGGCACTGTTTTCAAGAATAGACAGGCATGTTTTGCTGAACAGAAGGGATATAGAAATTTTGCCCATGCCCTTCCATTTTTGAAGACGATGTTGGAATAATAAATGTGCTTCATGGCGGTGATAAACAGTAAGAAAAAAAGAAAGAAAGAATGCCATCTAAAAAGGTGGGTGGTATTGCCAATAATTAAACGCTACACAAAATCAGGAGTCATTCATATAAAATAATCACTTGAGTCTATCATTAGACAAACCAAATTGAAAGTTTGACAATCACAGTACTCTGTGATGGATTCTCCGTCGACAGTTGAGCCAGAGCCTCCTCATTCTTTCTTCGTTGACGAGACCCGTACCACGGCTAATTCCCTAACCGTGACCTGGATCCCAGCGGAGAGGGTGTTTGGCCCAACACAGTGGTTCTACGTCAACTACCGAGAGTTGTCGTCTGCCTATTACTACGACTCCGCCACAGAGAGCATTAAGTTGTACGACGCCATAGAGTACACGCTGGTTGGTCTTCGTCCCGACACCGCGTACGAGGTTGAGGTGTACGCAGAGAACGCAAATGGGGCGAGTGACACGGTGAAAACAGTGGGCAACACCTTGCGTGAGTTTGATACTGCATATGATTTAATCATTCAGGGAAATTTCAATATCTCGAGAAGTTTAATAATCGTTATATAGGACCTGAGTGCATATAATGTCATTGGTTTCAAAATGTAAGTGTGCTGCCTTTGATTTGAAATTGAAATCGGATTTCCTTCATTTCCCTTTTTGGAATTAAAACGCAGCTTTCACTGAATCTAACATTATAAGGTTAGTTGTAACTTCTTTAAGAATTTGAGAACTATTGTGGCCTCTCAAAACACAATTCACAAATTACAAACAGCGGAGTGTACCTTAAAAAGATTAAATTAAATTTAATTTAATTTAATTTGCATACCAGATGCGTCTTCGTCAAGCTCTGCTATTTTGAAATGGCCAGAGTCATCCTATTTTGCAAGTTTTCAAATGAAAAATTAAGTTCTAAGTGGTACTTGGGCAGTCTCAATACCCGTTTTCCTTGTGTAAACCTCTCTTTCCTATTTACTCAGCAGCCGAGGAGAAAGAAACAACTTCCAGTCTGTACACTGAAAACGCAATTGGAGCGAGTGACGTCACCAGAACAACCACAACGACTCTGCGTAAGTTTGTCACTAAGAAAGCCACCGTTGAGCTCTTTGCGTAACGTTAGAAAGAAATTGGGCACGACAGCGATGGTCAAACTTTAGGCTTAGGGAAGATTTTGTCTAAGATACCAGAGACTTCCAATTACAAAATCATACAACCGAGTTGTGCCAGTTTATCATATCAGTGACGACCTAGTCTTTTTCCCAGCAGGAATCAGCGGTACAACGCCAGTGCAGCTTGCTGAAAAAACAAACAGCGCGAGTGATCTCCTGGAATCGACTACCACAACATTCTGTACGCTTTTAAATCGATTCTCTCTTTTCGGTCAAGAACATTTTTGTTTGAAAACGTGCCTTTCACAGTTTCTTTAGAAATAACTGAAGCCAGCGATAAACTCATTATCACGTTTCATTGTTTTACAGCTTTTAGTAACACTTGACCTCCTAAAGAGTGGCCAAGCAAATGTTCAAGTGTACTGAAGATTTCAAAATTCAGCAATGAAACATTTGCTTACATTAAAATCATGTCTCTTTTGGTCAACATTTTGTTCATTGAAGTTTTTTTTTAGTTCTGACATATTTACAACACTCGCACCGGGGCATTCTAGGTTAATTAGAATATTTGCCAGGGAAGCTTTTCCCTCTGCACAACTTTCTGAGAGCCAGCCTGTAACCTGTGGTTTAATTCTCTTTCGAATATTCAGCTGACCCCGAACATCATACTGCTGCCTTTGGTAAGTGATAGAGAAGAGAAGGATTTCCTTCCAAAGTGGCATATAAACCACTCAAATATTCAACAATGTTTTCAAAGTGATTGAATATTGTGGAACAGAAAGAGTATATCGCGTCACCTTACATGTCATTTACAGTAGTTCTGAATCATTAGTTATTTCATATATTAAATCATATAAATACAAACTTGCTGAGGCAACAAAGAAAAGGTGAAATTCAGAGACGGAACAAAATGGAACTCCATTTTAGACATTAACTCTTTAGAAGAAACTGAAAGCAAGAAGAAATAAAACGAAGATTAGAGGGAGAAACATGAATACGACTTCATTATAACGTATCATTCTTTTTCCCCAAGTGCTGTAATCTGTAGTCTCTCATGAAAAAATGCCAGAAAAAAGAAAGCTCAGATTGTTATGTCATTTCTTGTTGAGTTATTACTAGACTTTCAGTTGGGTGATTTATAAAAAAGTAACTGTTGCTTTTTGGTGTCGGTTTTGATGTACAGGTGAACAGGTAGCGGAACGCAGGTCGGATACTGGTAAGAACACATTACAATTAATCCTGGCACACATGGGTAGCATTGCATTGGGCGTAAAACATAACGTTGAATAGTAAGATTCTTTATGTGAATATCTATTATAGTCTCTTCCAATGTCCCTGTAGGTTTGAAGTTTTGTTTAAAGTGTTTTCAAGCTTTGAAGAAAAACGTGAAAAGGAAATGGCATAATCGGTATTTATAAAGATGGGTGAACCATGTTCGGAAGGCGGTCATAGACTCGTACCTACCAAAACGTACTCGGCGACCATACGGATATGAGCGTTTTTTAAATTTTCAAGTATTCCACGAACAAGTGGTGAGAACCTTTCTTAATTGTGTAATGCTTGACTACTTTTTGACCAACATTAAAAAGGAATTTGCTTTAGAGTGTAGCCAGTTGAAATCCCGAACAATTTTGTTTCTGAGATGTAGACCAGTTTTGCCGAAATGTTTTTTAATCTTTTGAACATGTTCTGTTTTTACTTGCTTTGTTAATGTTAGATGTCAAGTCCCAAGAATCTACACTTGTTACTGTTATCATCGTCATTGCAATAGTGGCTTTCTTCTGTCTTGTGATTATTGTCAGCGGATTCCTGTACCACCGGAGATCAATGAAAAAATACAAGCAAGGTGATGCACCAGTCCACACTACTTGCCACTGTTTGACCTTTACAACGAAATTACACGAATTACATAATGTATTATGTAATACATCTGACACACTTATAAGGCAGGCCCATTGACGTCCACAACATGCATGGAAGAGAGTTCGAAGCCTCAATGCTGCAGATTTCTGCAGGAAGTGATTTGATAATCTTTCAAAAGTATCGTTTTCTAAACGAAAACAAACGCCCTATATAGTCCTGTGAGATTCACTTAGTACAGTAATTTTTGTTCTACTCTCTCCTGTTCCTAATCAATGAAAGCGGAATCTAAGATCATTTTCGAGGTATTTCATTGATATTTTGAAGGCAGTCACTAGTGGTATGTTTTGGTTTTGAACAGATATTTTAGAATTATATATCCGATTGGATTCTTCGGCTTCGCTACACCAGTCCGCTGTTTGCGAAAGCTCTTCGCCATACCAGATTATTGGCACGGGCTAGACCATACTAGTCTGCACTCCTCAACCATAGTATTGCTAGGACATTTGGAAGGAGTTGGGCCCGTGTCTAAATAGATGTTCGTTAAGCTGTGGTTAAAAGTTATCGACAGCCCCAAAATAAATGCTTACCTTTTGTGATTTGATATTGTTGTTGAAATAGGAAATCGGAGAGGTAATAGGTGATTCATAAAATATCTAGCTGCCATTAGGCGTCTGAATGCAAAGAAAATACAGTAATGGAAACAAGATATTACTTTTTCTCATCTCACTCAGAATGCACAAACCGACAGAGAAATCTGTAAGTATAAGATTACCTAGAAACATACATTATACAAAACGTGATACAATTAAGTGCCCTACAAATGCATAGGTATCAACTTGGTTTACAGTTTTTAATTCTACTCCCTCTTGTCAAAATACAGCGTGTCTTATAAATTAGTTGTCTTGCACTATTTAATGTTATTTTATTCACATGACTGGTACACTAAAACTGCATTTGTAAATATTATTTACATTGTGACGAAAAGTGTCTTTTGCGGCTCATTTGTCTTGGCATTTCATAATCCGACATTGTTTGTAGCAGTAATGGGTTCCTTTCAGTTTGGTAAAAAATGTGTCGAAATTATTGTGATACAGACCGTTAAAAAATATCAAAAGCCGCGTCTTGTTACTTTGGCGAGGTAACATTTGCTGTTCGTAGCTCTGTCTATTGATAGAAATAAAGAACATGTCCAGAGCTTTTCCTCCCGGGGTTGTTGCCGTCTTTATCGTTTTTCTCTTAGTTTTCCTATTTTTGCTTCATGGAATGCAGTGTAAAATAATTTTTGTTTTTATTGAACAGGAATCGTGGTGTAATCAAGTACGACGACGAAAGTGACATCGTGATTGAAACAGCGGAAAAGTTGGGTAGGTGGAAAATAACAGGGATATTGCTGCATGTAACTTGGACGGGAAACACGTTTGCACGGGGAATAGTCAATCGTTAACTCATACCACTTACTGGGCAAATGCGTTATCTTGAAATTGCACTTGTTAGAAATTGGTGTTTATGTTCAGTCATGCTGCCAATAGGGCGGTGCTTACCGCAGATTCCAAGCTGGTAGGTATGTAATTCGCAAAATGTGACCATGATGAAGGAAAATCAGAATGGTGATGAAGCGAAATTGGGAAAATGAAAATGCGTTTGCTCGGTAGATCATTCTTTCCAACTATTGAACAAATTAACCCTCAACACGTCTGTACGTAACGTCACCCGAATGTTTCAACAGCAAGTACCCGGATTTTGATTGACCACTTTGCATATTCTACTCAGTAGGCTTTAATTTGTTTAGCGTTGAAGAAATAAATAAAAAACAACTCATCTCTCCACAAAACAAGGCGATCTTTTAGACCTTCATACTGTGTTCATTCCGTCCCTTGAATGGCTGCAACATCAATGTTCTCTTTGCAGACTTTCCGCTTCGTGTCATGACCTCTGAGACAGACCAAGCAGCCTGTGAACCCGGATCAACCAGTTATTGAAATCATCCACATCAGGCCGAGATGGACTCAAACCCATCGGCATTGACAACACAGACTTGCTGTGGAATTTACAACCGTCTGGATACGGCTTTTAAAATATAGTGGTTTTAAAATATGCTAGCCAGTGTTAATCCATAACTCACTGCATTTAGAAAATTGCTACTAACTGATAATATAATGCACATACCGTATGCATTGCTGAGTATTTCATCCCATTCTCTTGTTTTCATGTGAGTGGATATTTTACATACAAAACCCTGTGAAGGTAATTTACAAGGTATAAAAGGTAATGTTTAGTCACTGTAACATAAAACTGTACGACAAAAATATGCCTGCCCGGTGGTTGTTGAATTTCCACGGAGACAGCAGTCGGTGTTTATAAATAGACAGGCGATATTTAGTTGTTGGGGTGAAATACTTTGTGATAAACGCCATCTGGGTTCATGTGAGCTGGACTGCGTTAAAACACATTGCTACTTGCTAGTATTAGGTGTGATTTGAAAGATGTCGCAAATTTAGGATTTGATATTATATTAGGCAAGTAAATATCATATAATGGCCCCCCTACTTTGTCTCTAAACCCTTGGCGTGCATAGAAAATCCACATCTTAGTTTGGCCTTTTTGGCGTGTTCATAAGGAGACTAATTAAATAAAATGCATTCGTCCACAACTTTCGTTTTTATTGCTGAAACTCCCCGCCACGATTTTTTTTATACAAAGAAAACTTTAAAAGGGAGTAGAAAAGCGAGTATTCGGTATATTTATTTATCAGATATTAGCTCCAAAACCCTCACAAAGCGACGCCAGCAAATAAAAGCAAGGATGTCGGGACCGTGAGTAATGCTTTTGATTTGCGTAGCCCCACCATCATGTAATGAGCACAAAGCCGCCTTTGCTTTTGAAGTTGCCCTACCCCCACACCAAGGATTGAAAAACAACTTGCTTTTAAGCATGGAGAAATTTAAATTCAAAGAAGAGATCAAAAAGCAGAATAGACTCAGAACTGGATGAGATAACGCGGCCTCTTTTCACGTTCAGAAAGAGGCTTTGTTCACTAAGGTAATGTTAAATGAAAAGTGATGTTAACTTTACGGTAAAATGAAGTCAATTTTAAAAACATTTTAATATTAATTAATACAGTAAGCCTGACTAATCTACGGTTGATGAATAATTTAGATTTGTTTTTAATTAGTGATACTTCAGTTTTGTTTAACCAATATTAGATAAACTACATTAGGAGTGAAGGATTTAGAACACCTCAGCACCGCACCTACTTTTAACATTCCTTGACAATCTTGGAAGCAGAATCTGAAATTTATACAAAACACCGAGTTACATTTCATAAATGCCACGCATTGCTGAATTGTTTTTAGTTTATTTACTGAGTTATAAAAAATAAATATAAAAGGTAGGCTACACTCCTCAAGAACATTATGGCATCATGTGTCTGCCGTCCAATGAAATATCTTGACACAATACAATAGGCTGTTTATTCTTGTGTCGGCCATCTTGAATTTAAAGTGAGGTGAAACTTTCCATGTTGGGCTCATCAGAGTAAAAGGCACAGCGATGACATAAAAAAATTAAAGTGAGGTGAAACTTTCCATTTTGGGCTCATCAGAGTAAAAGGCATAGCGATGACATAAAAAAATTCATACAAATTTGCGCCAGTTTCTGTTTATGAATGATTTGCTATAAACTCTATCTAAATTTTTCAGCCACATAAGAAAAATAGACAGCGAGGTTGGGAACGGGCACCAAATAGTCTGGCTCCACCCTGTTGAACAAATTACATTGAATTTAACGGATTAAACAAGACAAGAAATGGCTTCCCTGTGATTTATCCCAAATTGTGACTTATAAAAAAGAACTTATAAAAAGAAAATTGTGACTTATAAAAAGGAACACAGAGGCGAGAGGGTCATCTGACCTGGGGCTGTGCCAGAGGTAGTCTTATTTACTGAGCCGATACCTATGTGGCTTGCCCCCATCTATTCACTTTCCTTCTCCGTTTTTAGTTTGCCGGCAGCACCATGATTTAGGCCGACAAAACTGACTAATGGGGATGTGGCACCCATCCCTTCTGGCGACGGCTTCAATGCTGTCGCTGAACACAGTGATGGATGCTGTCGGAGATGGTCCTTGATTATAGTTGGCAGACATCAAAGTCTTACGAAATCCTCATGTATGCAGTCGGATGCTATCGGGGAGGGACACGGCCCTTCGTCATAGATAACGAACATCAGAAGCTTCCCCCATCCGTAATTCTCACAGAGGCTGCAAACTGAGCTGTACGTTAATCCGCCATAGCATATCACTTCTGAGTGGACTTGAGAACAACCAGTGAACTCACCGTTCACGTAGAACCGTGCGCACTTCCCAGACTGTGAAAAATTCCACAGTAACGGGTTACGAGTGAAAAATAGTGGTCTCGTAGGGAGCGTTAGTTGTCGATGCATGTCCCTTCAGGTGGAGAAATGGCTTGCGATGCTATTTTGGGTTCTGCGGGACATGGTTTTTCAAATAAAAGCCCAATGTGTGGTATTGTACAATGGTGCACGCTGCAGCCTAACGTTCCAACTTCCAAGTGCCTAAGGCAATATTAGATATGGCAGCAAATCGTAAACCAAGGTGCTGCAATTACATCGAAGAGACCTTGGAGAAATTATGTAATATCGAAAAGAACTGTATCGAGTTAAGGTCAAATCTTTGACACTAATTACAAACATTTGCTTGAGATTCTTTTACTAAGGTTCTTAAGAGGAAGTCAGATTGATTTTTTTTTTTCATGGACTCATTCCGTCGTTTATGCTTAGAGGAGAATGGTCGTTATACAAATAATGAATGCATTAGGAGTGCAGTGGTAAGAATTATTTAATGAGGCAACAAATGAAAATAATGTTCCATTCCGCTGTAAAGTAAAACCCATCTGAATGGAACAAGAACCACTGCAGTTGATAGAATGAGAAACTCTAGATGAGAAGGCCGCAAAATATAGATCGCACAGGACTGCACACGCTCAGAGCACCTCCTTAGAAAGAAGGTGCATGTTCATGTACATGTACATAATGGACCATCCTCATCACTGTCTTTACCAGAAGATCGTAGGTAAAAATACGCGTACTCACTAAACACTTGCTTGACGCTACTTTTGTGTATTCCTGGGATAACAGGGACATAACTGTAATGTAAAAGAAAATGGTGGGGTTACGGATCTCGGCGGCTTTACAAAAACAACGCGTTTTACTTAAGGTTCGAAATGATTGTCGACTATGTGCTTAAAAAATATGCCAACAGAAGATAACAAAATTTAAAATTTTAGGCAGAGGGACGCAGGTAACGCTGTGTGAATATTTGTCGCTATTCTATTGAAAATTCGACTTGACACAGTTTAAAAAAATTGTGCTGTCAGTTTTTATAAATATGTTTACATGAAAAAAACATAAGCTATTGAAAATTAGCTAAGGCTTACGTTATGTAACAGACCTCACCTATGACAGCCACACCGGACAAGCTCAACTGTTGCATCGCCTACGGCTGGGTTTCCTTTTCGCGGTTTGTGTCCCTGTTTGTGCCTCGATTGCGCCACTCGGAGTGAGAAATCACCCGATGGACACAACGATGTTCAGGCCTTCATACGCAGTGGGTACTCCTACGTCCTAAAATTTTTGCAAGGTCACCGTCAATATATTCATGGTGACATCCGGTGGAAGGCAGTGACAGTTATGAATATTAAGAACACAGTTTAATGAGCACTTATACTTGCATATTCAGATGCATTATTCAGCTTTGCCATACGGAGAGTCCTCCGTGTGGGATTTCATAGTCACCAGCACCTCCCTAACCAGATTGGTGGCTTTGCATTATTAGAAGTCCAGGTCGACAATTTATTTATAAGGCAAAGTGTGTTTTCTTTGTTGTTTTAAATATTTTAATGGATATACGGTTAGGATGAGGCACGCCAACGATCGTTATACATATTCAAGACAACTAAAAGCGTCATTTGTTATGACCTACTTGATCTAGCAACATTCAGAGAAGCAAGGTTTTAGATATTTTATCTTTATTTTGAACATATAACTGATTGAAAGCTATGAATGAATATAAATCAGAAATCACTGTACATTTATTAAAATAATTTTTAAAATTTCTTGGTTTGGAAAACAACTGCGTCTACCCTTGTTTTGCCTGAATCGTGTTTTGGAGGATAACATGTTTTGATTGACTAGGGTGACCACTAATGACGCTTTGGCATTGTGTATTATAAGAAAATTTCCTTCAACTATTTTGACCAAAACTGCATAAGATGTGAAACTTAACTATGGTAGCGCTCTTTCAAGCATCTATATTGCAAAATTAATGTTTCATGACAGATTCTTTTAAGCGAAAGTCAATTCAACGACACAAATAAAAGTCAAAGCTTGCGAAATCTATATTGCAAAATTAATGTTTCATGACAGATTCTTTTAAGCGAAAGTCAATTCAACGACACAAATAAAAATCAAAGCTTGCGAGATCTTATACTCTTTTGTTGAAAAACAATGGAATTATGGAATGAAAAACAATGGAATTATCCTTCGCTTCCCTCAAAACCCGTCAGTAAAACATGTGCTTCCTTTTCCTATCAAGTCTACAGGTGGGGAATTTTAGACGCCAGTATTTTAATCCCATTATTATTAATTAATTACTGAACATAGAGTTTTGTTCCAAATGGTTTTGAGTTCCTACATGGATGTCCTCTGCACCCCCAAACCATTAAATCAGCAAAGAAACTACAGGAAAATGTAGTGGACTTGTACCTAGCTGCTGTTATATCCTTTAGTAAAAAGCCACACGAAATAGCCTTAGGCTACACCCTACTCTGCATTATCTAGAATTACCTCGGCACGTGCCTTCTGGGAATCCACAGAAGTTATATAGGGGCCTGACAGCCTTCAGAAGGTCGTTTATGGGTCACAGGCTGGGACTTGGGCAAACCAGGAAGCCGTTGATGTACACAATCCAGTCCTTGATGTAGGCCATCTTGGGGATGTTTGTACACGTTCCTGCGGGGATTAGCCAGCTCATCCGGCCGGGGTAAAAAAGGAAGCCCCCACGTTTACAGTGACTAAACCATGTCGTTTGGCATTGAAAAAAGGGGGGGGAATGCATGCAAATTTCACAAAAAAAGTAATCGTAATTAAAAACAGAAATATATTTTTCAAATGTGCATGTAAAAAGAACCTCCAAAACAAGAAAATCTTTCTTGTGAAAAGTGAAATGTAAATTGTGGAGGAGGAAAGTAATTTTTCGGAGATTGATCATGACCTACAAGATGAATTAACATCCGACCAAAAAAAAAAAACACTCTTTTGTTCTCTTTTAGTAGTATGTTTTTTTTTGTCCCAGTGTGACATAACTGCCTGGGTCAATCTATTTCATTCATTTTGTATGAAAGACATCTCCCTGTCATGTAAAAAAATTCCTAGAGAAACCAAACATCGTTGTGATTGAAAAAAAAAACCTGTTTTGTGCCGTAGTTGTGTTTCTCAGTGCAGTATCTCAGTCAGTCGAAAAGGCCCAAGGGGAATTCTCGGTTTGGGTCAAGTATTTGATTAAAACAGCGCCCTTTTTACACTGAACTACTTTTGTTGGTTATAAGTTCGCATGGAGACTACGACAGTCACAGTGTATGGTCACCGTTCACGGTATACGACGCCCTGACGTTTGACTGAACTAACTCCATGTTCTATAGCAGTTAAGGCTGTGGCTTTAAATAACACGCCCCCCTGCAAGTCACTAGCTGCCTAGCGTCTGCAACAAATTCACATTGAAGACGGTGTGTCTAATAGCCATAACCAGGCAAAAACACCCGGTCCGACTACCCACCGCTACTCATGAGCAAGGCCTGTGTAGCAAAAATAGCCTTGCTCTGACGGTGATGCTAATGTATTATCGTATCATGCAATACACTGGGCAAACTTATCAGCGAGGCTTGTTGGAGCCTTGTGTTTGCAAATTTTCGTGACACTGACTAGCCTCACTTATAAGTTTGCCTACTGTATTGCATCATACGAAAACGATATTATCACAGTTCTTGCAGGCCATCTTAATACACAGGCCTCACTTAAAAGTAGCGGTGGGTAGTAGGATTGGGTGATTAAGACGCAACCCCGCGTAGACCTGAAGTTGATCGAAGGTCACCAACTTTGACGTTACCGGGGCTTGCAAAAAATACAGCGCTGTGAGGCACTGCCAAGACAGACTCCGTGTACACGTGGCCGGGTACATAGGCCTACTGTGGGCGCCATTGTCTTCGCACCGACTAAACGAAATCGTGACGGAGAAATTCCTCGCACACAAGCGTCAGCTGCTTCTCGGAGATTGACAAACAGAAGCTGATTACACGTGGTAGAGCGGTGAGTGGAATTACAATATTTAAGGGCCTCCTATGCATATGACAAATCAAAATGCAGCGGTTGATGCTTGTCAAAGGAGAACAGGTCAGTGCAGTGGCGGGCGTGTTGTTATGTGGTAATGTTATTCTTTCTTCATCGGGAAGTGTGAAGGACAAGGAGTGAGTTAGCATGGTCATGATAGGGGAGAAGTCAGCAATCAAGTCAAGAGAGAGAAGAGGCTTAGTCCTGTTTTAAAGAATTTTGCTGGTGTCCTATTGACGAGATGGGTTGGCCAAGACACATCAACTCATCTCAACCTCATTCGATTTTTTTCATCGCGAAATGCATAAAGCAGTTTGCCACATAAACAAATTTAGTACTTTTTCAGGGAACGATTACTATATTGACATAAACGACTACTTTCAAAATTATGTTTAGCATTGAAAGAGAACATTTACTGCACTTCAAATATCCATTTTTGTTAATGCAATTTGGGCATAAGCACGGTAAACCTTTTTGATACTCCAAGTGTTGGTTATTGGGCATCATTCCCTCGCACAGCGTGGCGCCCTCCACCCACTGGCTGGCGCGAATTAACGCTAAAGTTTTGGTTAGGACCCTGTTCCCTTTCAGGATTTTGATATTATAATGGACTTGTCACCAGAAAATGCTGGGCTTATCAGCCTGACTATTTGATGATCCTAGTGGATGTACATGTAGAGGTATTCCTATCACGCCTGGTAAAACCCAGCCCCCTTCATTTTGGTCTCCAAACTGTTACACTGAAGGAAAGCTTTAATATTGTAGGAAAACAAACCTACACGAGTTAATCTTGAGTTTAATGAATATAAAACGAGCCAAAGCGTGCAGTGAACGTTGGTTTCAATATACAGTGTAGCATTTCTATAGAAGACCAAACGGGATGAATTAGGCCAGATAGAGTCATCGCCTTTCTTCCTTGCTTATGTAGGTGAATGTTGATTTTCATTTCATGCATTAAGACTTAGAATTGTTTTTCCTTGAACCAGAAAATGGCAACAGGATCAGCAGTGACTCCAGCTCTAGAGACGATCAGCAGACATCATCTCGAATGCCCCATTTGTAGTGAGAGATTCCAACGACCCAAGATACTGGACTGTCTGCATAGTTTCTGTGAGCAATGTCTGCTGACATACTGCAACACGAAGCACCAGGGCTGTACAGAGATTCCTTGCCCCGTGTGTCAACGAGAGACACAACTTCAGGAGGCAGGGGTTGGAGGCATGAAAACTAACTTTTATCTGATCGGTCTGGTTGAGGAGATTGAACTGCAGGAGAAGTTGGTATGTTCGAGTGAGACGAAGCTGTTGTGTGATGTTTGTGAAGAGGACAACGAGGTGACGCATCGCTGCGTGGACTGTGAACAGAACATCTGCTCACTTTGCTGCAAACTACATCTACGATTTGCTGTCTCACAAGGCCACACGATATCTACTCTGGAAGACATTCGCGAAAGGGAGATATCAATAAAAAACAAATCTGCAGAAACTCATCCGACATGCACGACCCACGAGGGTGAAGTGACGCGATTCTTCTGCACAACTTGTGAGATGCTTATCTGTCGAGACTGTACTGTGATAGACCACTGTAAACCATATCACACACACACTGATACAAAAGAGGCATCATCGACTTACAAAACGTCAGTGACTGACTTGTTCTCTCACCTCGAGGAGACCTTGAAACAAGTCCACGAATCTTCTGAGTTAGTGTCAGTAATGAGACAAGACCTTGATATTAAAGCTGAGACAGCTATTTCAGAAGTACAGGGCAGGACAATAGAGATTAGAGCATGGGCCACGGCTCAAGAAACTCGCATCATTGATAACATCACAAGCATCCAAAAAGATCGTTTGGAAAAGCTGTCAGAATATGAGAAAGCGATGAGTTTGGCATCCGAGAGAATACAGCATTCATTGGAGACAGCAAGAGAGGTGACAAGGACGGCAGCGGATAGTGAGTTCCTCTCACTCTACGCAACAATCAACAAAGACTTGAAATTGTTGGCTGGTCAAACTATTCCCAGAGTTGACAAGAGGCTTGGATTTCTGAAGTTCAAGCCGAGTGAGGGGGTACTTGGTGACATCAGTCTGGGCAAGGTGGTGACGGAAGGGAAGTGGGAGCAGCGATGTATGTTTGGTAGCAAGGGAAGCGGTCCAGGAGAGTTGGATGGGGCTATGGGCATTTGTGCTCGTCAGCCTGACGAGGTTGCAGTGGGTGACGACTGGAACAAACGTGTTGTGATCTACAGCATAGATGGTGACCTGAAAAGTACAATCCAAATGGATGGATGTAAGTTTAAATGTAAACTTCCAAGCTAATAAAAAGTGCTGTATTTATCTATTTATTTCTGAATTGCTATGTTCAGGTCACGCAAAAACCCTCCAGGCAAGTCACAGAATCACCTGGTACCTTTACACAGGAATCTAACAGAGAAAAGCATTCGAGATATGCAGCCTTCCTGTGGCATTTAGATTCTTTCCTGATGCAGACACTGCAGGATGTTTTAGTCATCTCACCATTTCCTGTTCCTCAAACAACACGGCAGTTTGAGAGCGCACTACCTTGGCATGTTGAACAAAAGCAAGTGTTTCAGAATGCTGATCATACATGTATGAATACGAAAATGTTAAAGACAGAGCATTATGCGCTATGAATTTACTGAGAGGAGATGTAAAAAAATCATTTCCCGTAGAATCCCTAGTCAAAATGTCCAGTCGTTAAACTCAAAGCACATTTTTGTTATTGTGGGGTATCTATCTGCCAGCGTCCATTCATCCATCTGTAAATACTATGCAGCACAGACACACGTAGTGGGCGGTAACCAGGTCAACTCCTGTTACTCCTAACGTCGGAGAAACACTTCCTGTTTCAACAAGACTGTGTATTCCAAGGGCGTAAATCCCAGGGGATTGGGATGTATACCTCCACAAAGGAGGGGGCGGGCTATTGAATCTTCAACTCCCGCACTTTTGTCGCCAAAATCACTTCAGCGGATTGTGATTAATATTGTTTTGGACTTCTACAACTAAACTGTATTCAGTATCACTCTTAAAACGGAAAACAATTTTAAACGTAGTCAATATCAAATCCTTAATGAAGAATACAGATTTACACGAACACAATGATTATCGACATAGCTGGAATCATGCATTTGCATGGCGGGTAAGTCGTCCCACCCCCATCTTTCCCCGCCTCCTCCGATTCCCGCCGCAGATTGACGCCATTTGTGTATTCTACTATACAATAGAATTACGGAGATTCTGTTTGAGCCTGAAGACTACATGGATTGCGGAGTGGCTGTGGCTATGGCTTATTGTGGTGGCTGCAACAAGAAAAAAATCACATATTTATGGACCCGCTGGAAGAGAGAGGGGCATGTTTGTTATACACTGTACATGAATCATCATTGTTTATGTGCATGTGCATTTTTTTCTAGTAACTTAGGACGTTTTATTCTTTCTGTGTAAAGTATTGGCTCCTGACATCTAAAATTTTCCTAAAGTGATCAGTTTTTTTTGTGTTTGTCAACTGAAAACAGACCCACGTGGCATTACAGCTACACGCACTGACAATCGCCTGGTGGTAGTGGAGGAGGGCGCATCCCACGTCATGCACGTGAAAGTCTTTGACAAGGACAACACGCTGGCTTTCCAGTTCCCCACAGTGCCACCGAGTGAGGTCGGTAAGACCGCAGTGGACCTTCACCGTTTAGCAATCAAGGCAGATGGGACCATTGTGGTTGGTGACACAAAGAGGATGGTCCTGACCGAGCACAGCCCCACTGATGGGGAACTTAGAAGCACCATCCCAGTCAAGATTAAACCCCACTTTCTGGCTGTTGAATGCAGCGGTCGGTTCGTCATCAGCGACTGTTCAAAGACAGTGGGTCTTGTTGATGGGAATGGTGAATCACTGTTCACCATCAAACCTACCATCGATGGTGAGGTAGCTGAATGCTGTTCTGGTGTGTGCGCAGATAGCACAGGCATCTATGTTGCAATGCATAATGGTAATTACACCGGTCATGTCCACCACTATGACCCTCAAGGCGGCTTTCTCCACTGTATCGCACAGGGTCTGTTCCACCCCAAGGGAATCACATTCACAGCAGATGGGCAACTGGCCATAGCCGACTACTACTCAGTGAAGATGTACATGTTACAAGAGGTGTGATATGGAAATAGACTCAAATAAGTATGGTAATTTCCCATCTAAAACATTTCTATTGATTGATAAAAATGGAAAGAAACATATTTATCGTTTATTAGAACTTGCTCTTTGGGACCAATTTACTGATTGTGATGACTTTGATGCCAGTTGAGAGGGTTTTCTGGACCCGTTTCAGGCAGCTTCTAGAGATTCAATTCCTCGTAAAATCCCTCCAAATAAGAAACATGTTCCTTGGATATCTCGTGACATTAAACGACCGATTCTAAAGAAACGTAGGTTCTTCACTAGTGCGAAACGTACCAACAAACTTACTCATTAATGGAGCAGCTACAAGAAGATCCGTAAGTAGTTGTAAATAGTATCAAAGTATAGGCCTATCAAACAGGCTGTTCTCATTGCCACATAATAAGAAACGATTTTTTTTTGCTTATGTTCGATCTAAAAATCGTAATTCACGCCCCCACGTGTGTTGGGGACAGTGTAATCAGTGATCCAGTTTTAATTGCCAGCATTTCTCACAGTTTTTCCAGTCAGTTCGTTTCACCGACGCGTCGGTCTGTCTACCTGAGTCACCAGTGCATTGTAAATTACGCATCCCAGCTTTTTACGTACGATAGAGGTCCCTCGGGGAGAGATTTTTCAACACCTCGGCAATCTTAACGATCGTAAATCTGCTGGCCCTGATGGGCTAACCCAACTCTATTGAGGAAGTCTGCTGAGGTTATCTCGCCCATCTTGGAAAGCATTGAACGCTTGCTCAAAACAAAAACAGCTTCCAAAGCCAGTTCTCAAACCTGGTGACCGATCTGTTGTTTTCAATTATCGTCCCATAGCCTTGACCTCTATAGTGTGAACATGTAAGGTAATGGAATCAATAGTGGTTGGATCCATACAAAATGACCTCCAGGATAATCACTAGATGACCCCAGTCTAGCGAGAGTCCTCTAAAGGGAAATCCTTCGTGACTCAACCAATGCATGTCGTCTATGATTGGTCATCTACAAATGCTGTTCTTTGTGATTTTTGAGGGCTTTTGACATTCTTGCGCATGACACCTTGTTATACAAGTTGTCAAGTCTTTTTAATAATCACAGGACATGCATGGCACTGGATTAAATCTTCCCTGCAGGGTCATAATATGCGGGTCCGGTTTCAGGGTCATTACTCTGATTGGTCTGTACTAACGTCTCGCGTTCCCCAATGGAGTGTATTGGGCCCATTGTTGTTCAACATATTTATTAACGATTTCCTAGATTGCTTAATTTTTTTAACCCTGTGAATTGTTTGCAGCTTACATTGCTTGTATCGTCCTATTTGCTCATCCTCCGACGAGATGATCCTCCAAAGAGATTTAGAATAGATAGAATGTTTGAATGGTGCCAATAAATCAAATGAAACTTAATCACATTTAAACAAAAGTGGTTAGATTTAAAAAGACGAAGAGGGATGCGAACACGCAATATATTCTACACTCTGGTCCACTGCAGGTTTTTAATGAAATAAAGTACCTCAGTGTGTTCTTAATATAACCGAATAACCTGGAAAAGATACTTGATTTTATATAACAGGTTTTGCCCTTATACCCAATGTATATTAATAAGCACTGTAGGCTCAGTGGGCTCAAAAAAAAAATACATCATGAAAATACTTGATTTTATTCTAAGCGTTGCTAAAGGTCTCTCCACACATGCTCGCTTCTGTCTATACAAATCGCTTGCTTTACCCAAAAATGGATTGCCCGCTGGGTAGGTCTACCTTAATGCACAGGGATTGATTGCTGATATTGAGCGGGTCAAAAGACGAGTGACAGAATTGTTCTCAGACAGAAGAGACTGGAGATGCACTACCTTGATCGACTTAAACAATTGAACTGGTGTTCTTTACAGTTCCGTCACGACTATCTGCTGGTCTCTTGTTGCTAAAACTTTGTATCGTGAGGTTTCATGTAATCCTGTGGGAGAACGTATTCATATCAACTCCCGGCATACTGATGATTTAAGATTTTCTCATCCTGTAGCTAGAAACAATTGCTTACATCATAATCCAATCCATGTATTCCCTCGTCTGTGGGAGAAATTCCCTAAACCCTTCGACATGCCTTGTCGATGGGTTCTCTCTCACAGTTTTTAAGACAACTTAAATTACGGTGTAAACTAAATTAAGACTTTAATAATCCCAGTTTGCTATCTAAGATAAGATGAGCGTAATACGTCATTGATTTGTCTGTTAAAATTAACTAGAAATTTTCTACCTACGATCAGTTCTTCGTTCGTAATCGTCAATTGGCGCCGTGTCTCTATTGTAAATTATATTTTCTGTCTTTTTATCAACCTGTATTCTTTTTTCTGTATGCCATTTTTGCTTGGCTTTCTGGCCTGGCTTTTTACGATACCCTCCGAATTGATGATTATGAGGTGTTTTAACTCTTCATCTATTTTTGAATGTAATGTCAACCTTTTTTGTGTAATTTTTGTCTTTTGACGTGGCTTTCTGGCCTGGCCTTTTACAATACTTGCCCAATTACTGATCTCCTTTTACCTTTATGTAATGTAATGTATCTGATGTTTTCTGTTTTATATTGATGGATGTCCTAGTGTCTTTACTTGTTACTTGGGGCTTTTTGCCTTTTGGCAGTAGTGATTAGGTTCACTTTGTTTAGCTCCTGTCATCTTGTCGTGAATTTTGTAGTTTTGTTTTGTCCGATGTGACGATTGCGAATAAAATAGTAATAGTGATAAGACTTATCGCGTGCTTGTTGGGATTACAAGCTTGGCTTAATAAATATGTGACTTACAACGTTTTGGTTGGTTAATTGTACCACGGACACCCGAAATGAGATTGTAATGTTGGACGTATCAATAAAGGTGGTCTAACAATTAATATTAGTGTTTCATATCTGATAAATATTACCCTAGTTGTGTATTTTCGTGACTTTCCTTGACTTTCACAGCCATAGGCAGGTTCTTGACGGTGCTAAAATCAGCCGTCCTGTTCATATTCAATGCACCACAATTGATGCAAAGAAAAAGGACATGATTGAAAACTCATAAAAAATCACAGCGGAAAAAAAAGGTTTTGTATTGAAAGTGCACAGAGACAGAATTTCTCAGGTCAGCCATCACCCACAGATATAAACAGATATGATGCACGGGTCAGAGGTCACACGTTGATGCCCGGTTGTTTTGGATTTCATTCCCTTACGTGATGGGTTCAGATTCACCTCAGTGTTCCCTAATGAGGCTCACTTGAGAAAAAACTCAGAAAATTCAAAATCATACATTAGCATTTTCGAAATTCTTTTAGTTGATCAATTCTTGTACAGCAACATTCCTTCCATGCACAAACCCACCAACAAGTAGGTTTGTTGTTGTATGCGTGATTGTTGACGATTTACGTTCAACAAGCCCACCACCTACCCGACTGGGAAAGAGCGAACATCAATGATACCACCCAAACATGCAGAATATAGACGGAACGACTTCAGAATATTTCGGCTATTTCCGGAAAAATGGAGGAATTCCTCCAGTCCCTGTCACGTGACATTGGGTGATACAGGACCCTTAATTCGCCGGGTAGTCAGAATCATCGGGTCGGTATCCAGACAAGTCGGAGACTACGTACGTGACGGGAACCAGTCAAGGCAGAACCACGCCCTTACACTCAGGGGGCGCTGTTCGTAATGCAGATGTAAATTTTAGATGTGTTAAAATAAGAATTTCCGGATCGTTTTTTTCTTTGTAAAATATTATTATTCAAAGCTGTCAGCTTATAATTAATTCGACAATTTAAAAATGAATAAATAAAAGATCTGGCCTAATAGGGCCTCTAGTAAAATTTACTCCGCAAATAGAGCATCCAATGAATCCAGTTTCAACTGTGAAATGATTGGTTTCCGCCGCAATGAATTCAAAGTTAGAGTGAAAGCAGGAAGGGAACCAGTGTAACTGTACAACAATGAAATTCTCACGTGGGGTAACGCGCATTCATAAATTCGCGGGCATCGTGGAAGGAGCATCAGTTTAACTGCGGCATAACAGCCAAAGTAAGTGTGCCATTTCTGTGTCGAAATTAACCGCTTTAGACCCTCAAGAGATGAAGTGGCATAGTAAACTGTTTAGAGGGTAAACTGAACTAATTAAAGATAGAACACAGGTGGGTTTAGCATGAAATTCCGTTTTGACTGTTACTCGTTCACTTCGTCGTGGTAGGTTAGGTTGGAGGGTTCACGTTTCATACGGAAATCCCTTATTTTCCCTTGCAGCTGTTTATTAGGCATTTAGATTACACGTCTAAAAGAAATCAAATTTGGCAGTGAAAATATTGAATTATTGACTTGGAAAGCATTTAGAATTTCTGCACCAGTATTGTGAGGTGTCATCAAGTGATGGCTGGATACGGCAGTCTTGAAATTCCACATTTTCTTCCAAAGTCGTCCACGAAGTGGCTCTTCAACCCTTTGCGTAATAGGAAAAATTCCTGAAGAAGCAAAGAAAATTTGGGAAGTGCACGGCTTACATTCGGATTTGAAATTGGACGCGTGCCTATTGACAAGTCTGATGTCTTGATTGCTTTAGACTGACAAAGACAGATACCCCTGTAAAGGTTAACTAGAGCTCCATATACGGACACCATATGACCAAAACTCTTTGAGATTGCTTTGAAAAATTCTACGTGTTTTCTTTATTAAGGACACCATGACGACTTTTTATCTTCCTCCTAAGTTGAACATTTCTGGACATGCTTTGATTCATGAAGGCTAATTGGTCATTTTAGGGAATAATGGTGTCGGTAATTGGAACTCTTCCCCCATAAATTTGAATAGAGCTTTCCATAAACCTCACTGTTCCTGGAAGTAGCCTCTCCTCACAAAACATTCCGCCAACCTGCATACTGTGGTCATTTACACAATGCATCGCACAGTGCTCCTGCACAGCATCACAAATATTCGGCTTTACCGAATAGTGTGTGATGATTTAATTATTTCAATGCATTCTGGTTCTAAATACGTTCATTCTTGTCTTTAAGTACAGCAGTGTACTACTTTTATGTCTTTGTAGGGCGATGTTGAAATAAATGTGTGTGCAAATCGAATTATTCCCAGGGGGGTGGGGCAAGGTGCGTGCTGCCATGCTCCCAGTAATTATTCCCTGCAATGACCTATTAGCCATCACAAAGCAAACACAACAAAGAGAACAATTCAATTTGGAAGGGGAAAAAATCAAGTTGTTTACTTAGAAAACACAAGAATTTTCTGAACAGTTCCATAGGGTTTGTGCACAGAGTGTCAAGCAGCGTCCGTATGTAGAACCCCCCCCCGTCAATCAGAAAACCACTCGGACTACACAGTAGGTAGCGAAATTAGAGACCTGACAAGTACACCATCAGGGACGCAAAGACATGAAACCAGATATACATTCCTTTGTGAAATTCGTATAGTCAGGGTCGTTGTCTGTTTGTCATCAGTTGTCGTGCAAGTACAAGTGCAAAAGCAGTCACTATTGGTCCAAGGTCATATAAACTTCCCAAATTACGTGTGCTTTTCTTTTTACACAGAGGGTCGTGGAGCCATTTTGTGGAAGATTGTTGAAGAAAGATTGAAAGTTTATCTGTTTAGCAAATAAATACTTGCAGGGTCCTAACTGCAGGGATTGAACCAAAGTAGAGGTGGCATCTCCAATTCTCAAATTTATGAAGCTGTTGACTTTTAAGATAAAATTGGGATGGAATGTAAGGTTTTGCCCCAGAGTCCTTAAATTAGATTAGAGCTACTGAGGATTTGGGGAATGATTTAAAATTTTATTTTGTCAATTTACAGATGATTCCTGTGCACCTTGATATCAATTGGCGAGGGAGGCTGGAAGCAACACTCCCACAAAGAGCCCACACAGAGCCCAGAAGCGCGTAAGAAGAACGTTGCGGTGAAGATGCCTGCATAATCAAACTCAATGCAACAAGATTCTACCATTTGAACTGGAAGTGAGACAATGGACCTTACGATCAGACAAGATCGTTGCACTTGCCATAATCCAGCGTTAGCCTGCCACATTGAACGAATTGAACCTGATATTGGCTTATTTCTAAAATACAAGCCAGTTCTGATCTTTCTGATATACTGACTCGCTATGCATCAATCGAGGGTCATGTCAGTAAATAGTATTTTGAGATCATTTCCTCATAGCCATGAAAACAATCCCATCAGTCACCCTCCATAAGCCTTGAAAATAATCCCATCAATCACCCTCCATAAGCCATATTAACGTCAACCAACCCTCAACCACCAATACGTGTAGTAAATAACAACCCCATTAACCATAAACATTTACCAAATAAACATCAACCTACCATCAACCATGAGCAGTAAATAACCCCGTTAACCATAACCATTTACCATGTTAACTTAACCAACTATTAAACAGTAACAAAAATTAACAATTCTATTAACGGCGTAAACCTCAAGTAACCCCAACCATTACCAAACAAATATTACCCCCTATTAAATCATTTGCCAGTTAACCATTTCTTAATTCAAATGAGGAAAATGATCCGTCAAAATGCTACAAAAGACTTTAA